TCTGCGCGCCGCATCGGGCTCTTAAGCATTACGGATCATGCAAATAAAATATGCGGCGAACGCTTTTGTTTTTATTTATCAAAGCAAGTGCCGCGATAAATATTGGAAACACGAGGGGGGGGGGGGTCACGTGTGCGTACATTCGTTTGAAACTTTCATTTCCATACAAAATGTAGCGAGAGGGTATGGATGACGAGGGAACGAGTCAATTTTAATTTCACACAGACTACGCCCGATCATCTATCTCCGATATCTAAAACTCCCAGCAGCGATAGCGCGCGCAAAGGAGTTTCGAGACACGCGGTACACCCAGAAAAGAGTTTGTTCGAGATCGAACGAATTTTCTTGAATTTTGAACCCTACTAGACTCCCCATTTAATTTCGAAGAAATGATTTCTTCGCTTTAACGAAAATTTCATTTCATTGAGACTGGAATTTCTAAGAGGGTTGATATATCTATTTCTTCAAATCTAGCAAACGTACAAGTGAATAAAAACTTAGTAGATTCAAAGGAATGTGATTTCAACGCAAAGTCCGCTGTTACAGGATAGGCTCCTAATATGAGACAGTGGCTTTTCAACGTCCAACTTCGCAGATCTTTTTCGCAACAATTTAATATAACGCGCGATCTAACAATAAAATGTCATGCCAAAGGCAACAAATTTGTGGTGGGATCAGCAGACGATGCTGTCAATTTGCAAGAAACCTCGCTATCTCATATTGGGAGTCTGTCTTACAATAGGGGACTCTCCTGTATTTCGTTTGTTGTTAACGTACTAGTTAAATCTTTTTTCTGGGTGTAGAGACGTCAGCTATTCGAGTACAGGTCGGGCGAGATTTGGTTGGTATTTAAATTGCTAAATCCGAACTTCGGACATTGCGAATCTATACTGTCTATTTTAGAAAATTTATAACGTTTGCTTAACATTTAATAAGCAAACCGGATCACGTTACATTCAATAGGTGGGTTCAATACTGCAACCGCTCGCTGAGTGGCTAACAACTAATAGAATGTAATCGGACTTTCTTTATCCAAACAGAAGAGCATCGGTAATAAAATAAGCTGTATTATTTTACTTAAATTTTTCTGTATCGAATCGGATATTGTTAATGAATGCTGTATCATTTTAATACATTACCTACGACTTTTCGCCTAATTATTTTAATACTGCGACGTTGAATAAAGCGTATTTAATTTAATTTTATATTAAATATTTAAATGCTTTAATAACATAAAATAAATGTATACTACAATTTATATAATCAATACCATTTTTCAACGTCAAAATTCTTTCGTTATCCCCCGTTAAAATTCAACAGGGCTGGGAAAGCTACTTTATGGAAGTATCCAGTTACAATTACAAATTACCAATTCTGAAAAGTAACGCGTTACAGTTACTTTCTCGCAATGAAAGTAAAAATATCAAATCTGCATTTGAATTGTAAAGCGTCGATAAAGACGCTTATGCGTAAATGCGAGGCGATCTGTGGAGGTTTAAAAATATATAAAGTAACTATTAATATAACTATCAAATTACTCGCTAGCTATCGACAAAATGTAACCGAGTTAGGTTACAGTTACAGACGGGGAGGAAGTACCGAAGTTGAGTTACCGAAAAAGAAAGTATAACTGTAACTCCGTTACGAGTAACGAGTTACTTCGCAACCCTGAAATTCAATCTATTGTACGGCAATTAATACAACGCCAATGGAAAAATTATACTTGGACGATCCGGCGCGAGTGTAAAAAGTCGCAACATCCCCCGACACGAGACGAGTGCTCTTCGCAAGCAAAGAGACGAGATCGATTGTAGCGAATTGTAGCGCGCGCTCCTCGCTCTCTCTCTCGCGCAGACATCTCTGCTCCTGTCCGGCGTTAAGAGCAGCCTCCTTCCGGTCGCGCTCGTATTATTCAGCGGCTGAATATCCAGAATATCCGCATTTGATGAAACTTTCCCGAGGCACGTCGGGGCGCCGATTCTTTATTTAAGTATATTCGGCGCGTTTCTATGCCGGAACGTCTCGATGGGCCTTCTTCTCCACCCGACATCCGCCACGATTGTGTTCGAGGAGCATGACGAGCCGGACGGTGGGATCGCCGCGAGGGTAGATATATCGTTAAGAGGTAGACACGTCGAATCTGCGATTTCGATCGTGACGGGGCCTTAATGGACGCGCGTGACTAACCGTCCTTTACCTCGCGTGGCGCGCTGTCAAAGTCGTTGACACCGGAGGAGCCGAGATCATTGATCGCGCGTCGTTTGCACATAACGCGTACCGAGAGCTACTCGAAGGAAGCTCCATGCCGAAGGATGTTTCGGGAGGAAAGATCAATACTCGCCGAGGCAAGACCGGTGGGCATAGACGCGAATAAAAAAAACACACACACACACACAAAAAGAAAAGAAAAGGGGGGAAAAGGAACGGAGAGGAAAAAAAAACCGCGTACGAAGTAAGCGAAAGGAGGAATCGGAACGTAAATTGCGATACGTACGGCTCTCGTTCGTTCCCGTGTTACGACTAACGACACGTCCGTGTCGAACAGGTCGCGTTAATTCAGGGACGAATAGGAACAATGAATCATTTTGCCGCGGCGCTCTTATATATATATCACGTCCCCGGCGTTTTTATTCCCTCGCGAGGAAACGGTCGAGAGGTGCGAGATGACCTCGCGGAACGTAAAATTTCATTGATCTTCGATCCCGCTCGAAGAACGGGCGCGCTGCTCCTCTCGCGGCGCTGATCTAGCGCCCCTTCGTCAGCCCCGTGGCCTTTGATTTACCGATCTATGCAAATCAGAGTAATCCAATAATCTCGAGCGACTGGAATTATCCGCCCGTTCCCATACGCGCGGCAGCGAAACTGTGACTCACGCTCGCCGGCGGTCAATTACATAAATTGGGGCCCCGCGAGTTACTTTAATTAAGCGCTTAATTCTTCGTTTAATCCCGCGAAAGGCCGCGTCACGTCTTGTAACCCTTGCGAAAGTCGGCATTTCGACAGCGCTGGGACCTCGCGCGATTTAACGCGTTTCGAAGAGGATAGGAAGAAGGGGGGGGGGGGAGGGAAACGAGGAGGGGCCCCTGTCCGACGGGGACCCGAGAGCGAAGAATGTTACTCAATAACCTCGACGTACCTCGGAAACGGAATTTGCGCTCTTTATTTAACGAAGTGTCCGATTTACGTCCTACGGTCGCATCTAAGCTTCTTAAGAGGGATGAAAACGAACAATTTAATTGAATTGATTTAAATTTCAGCTCGAATCGAGATTCAGGTCATCCGATTAAGCGTCTGCTTGTTTGCCGCCGTCAAAAGCGGGCTGGGATATAAATTGATAAGTGAGCTCGAATATATACATATTTAAATATAAGAGAAAATTAGAGTCCTGACGCGGGACGTCGGCGGCACGTTTACGTCAATTTACGATGCACTTTGTAATGGCGAGAGAGACAGGTATAAACCGCAAGTTGGCCCGAAGTTTTACTACTGGTCGTTTTATCACTGGTCGATAGAAACCGTATGAAAGAGCCCGACAATGGAAGTCACGGAGGAGCCGAGTGATATTTTCAGAGCCGGGAGACCTATGGAAGAGTTTACACACTTCTCTGACCCGGAATTTTTAATTTTTACCGGGGAATTTTGTTGCCGAGGGTAAACGTGAAAAGTCCGTTAAAGGGCAATAAAACGAAGGCCCTTTATCATCCATGCAGAAAAGCGGAATCGCGTTAAGCTCTTTGTTGCGATCAGCGTAAGAGTCTTTCGTACTCTGGGAAACAAAAAGACGGTTAGCAACCCATTTTGGGGCCCACGACCTAGATGGTGCACATAGTTCTCTGAATATTCTTCTGGAGTGCAAATATTCTTAATTTCAGAATATCCGAATCGAATATTCTGATTTGGCGTCAAGAATATGGCTGTTGCAATAGTACTCCAACTTTGGTAAACATTCGCGTACACATCTCCTTGGAGTTTTCATGTAAAAGAGTTACGAACAATCCAAATAATTCGATTACCAATTGTGGGCCCCAAAATAGATAACGGTCTTTTTCTCCCAGAGTAGCTGAAACGTTCTCGTAATTACAAAGCGCGAGAATTGGACACTTTCGCGCGGGGGTAATCGCCTTCGTCGCGGCCACCGAAAAGAGTCGTTCTCGATCAGGCCCGTGGCGATCTTTTCCCACGCGAACGAAACGAAAGTCATCCGACTTGTGCCCCGCGAGACGCCGCGCCGGGACGATTTATTTGACGCCGGCCACGATCGTCCCGTCGACGGTCATCGCGTCGCCGTGTGCGCCCGGTGGTCCTACGGTAAAATTTTTGCGGCGGAAGCACACACACACACACACGCACACGCTGGACGGCACGACGTGACCGTATATTATATTGCAGTGGAATTATTCAATTTTAATCCCGCGTCGCACACCGTGCTTGCGCGACCGCGAGATCCCCCTTCTACGTGCCTGACACACGTCTTTTCCTCCTTCCCGTGGCGGGACTTACTGCCGGAGTACATGCATTGTCAGAGCGTACGGTACTTATTGTGTGCGGTACGATCGCGCGATACCGATGGAATGCGTGTCGCGGCGCGAGAGAATAAACGGAAAATTTAATCGCAGGCTGCGCTTTACAATATTTAAATAAAATTCAATATCGCGTTAAGTAAATTTATTTAGCGCGACATTTAACATGTATATAGGGGAAAAGATGTTTACCGTAAAAGCTAATAGCTGTATAAATATAATTGTATGCAAATATTAATGTATGCGTATATATCTATCTGATTACCGAGTACAGTGTACGATGTACGAAGTCCGACGTGCGTTTGATCCGATAAATATTGTTTATTGGCTTTTTGGAAACATGGCGAGGGGGTTCGATGGCACGCCAAATTTTCGTCCGAGTGCCAATTCGTCGTGCCATCGTAGCCCCCCCTCGTGTTTTACGGCCTATTGCATTCGCGACACGGTGTCGTATATAAAGCCCGTTTTCCTCGCTTTCAGGGATACTCGGCGATTGTCCTGCGGCGCGGCCGCCGCAGTGGGGCACCGTGAGGGAGAGAGTTCTTCAGGACGGCGCTCTGCGGATTGTGTACTCGTGTGAGCCGGGCCGCAAGCTCAAGGGTCACAAGATAGCGACTTGCACCGCCGACGGCTGGGACCATCCCGTCCCGAAATGCGTGCCTCGTAAGATATCGCCGTCTAAACCGTAGACTTCTGCACGGGGTGTGCCAGGAGGAAAGGTCAAATATTCTGGGAGGTGATAGTATCGGCCATTTTGAGCAAAAATGCTCGTATGACTATACGTCCCATTTCCCACTGTTCTCGAGATAGAGCTGTTTGATTGTACAGTTGCTTACTGACGAGAAAGAAATGCCACGTACTATTTCTAATATTTATTGTTCAAGCAATGCATTTTTGACAGATCATAATAAATTTTCAAAAATCCCACCGTTAACAACAACGCATTTTTCAACTCTTGTGCGAACACGGCGCGTTTGCTCGTCTGAGTACATCGTGGCGTTCCTTTACATTTTGAACATTTCCGCAATGTTATCAGCACAACAGTCAACAGACGTATGAGAGTAAATTCCCTTTATAAAATTGGATAAAGGGTGAAGTGTACAGAAAAAAAGTAAATGCACGAGACATTCAAGTAGCTCTATCTCGGAAACAGTGGGGAATGGGACATATATTCATATGAACATTTTGCTCAAAATGACCGATACTATCGCCTCCCAGAATATTGACCTACCTCCCTGGGACACCCTGTATACTACCATAGTATAACTAGTAGGTCCACTCCGTCATTGGTTTCGTTTTGCGTCTATGGCCCGGTTTCACGTTGCTTAACTTTAAGCTTAGCTGAATTCGTTCTTTGTCTCTTTCCAACTGTTACTTTAGAAAAAGACAAATATGAATTAAACTGAGGTTAAAAATGGGACGTTTGGCGAAACCGAGCCTAAATCCCAGGCTCGAGCGGACGCTCGTCGGGATCAGTCGGGCGCGAGATCCACGATCAATCTCCATGATTACACCCTACACTGCCGTCGTTTTGACTCGATTAATTGACGTTCGCGGAACCGCATTTGCCGCCTTCTTCACTTAACAGCGGCGACCGATCGTCGCCTGGGCGATTATTCACCCGTCAACCCGAGTTGTCGCAATTCTCGATAATTGCGATATAAATGTTGTTATTGGAAAATATAATTGTATCTTTACCAATTTCGCAGGCCCATTTAGAGCGTTCAGGACAATTGATCGTTTATGCTGATGCGGATGACTTGATTAACGCCATTTGCACATCGCGCGTCTATTCTGGACACGTCCGCGTTAAGGAAATTGTTTTGAATTATCCTGCAATTGGAATCCCGGCGAATTAACGAATTTGCGCATATCACGTATCGCATGATGTCCCAGCTATGTCCCTAGCTATGCGGCATTATACTAATTTGATCGACGTAAGTCAATTATCCACATGAAAGGGGGCTTAACTCCTCGTGCCTGGCTCGGCTGAAGCCTCGACGCGCGTGTTCAATAGACTGACGGACAAATCCGTTTACTGCGAGACATCGCGCTGTCGAAATAAAGGGACTCACGGCGTCGAACTCGCTCTTAATACCGTAATACGAATCGCGGTTTAGCTTATACGTTCGACCACCCAGCTCATGATCAACAGACGGAGATGGCTAGATATGTATGATGATTAAACCTCGCGTCCTCTTGTCGCTCATTTCGATTGCCGCGCGCGATAAATTCGGAGATAAATTTGATATTAATGTATCTCTACCGAGGGGCACGACTCCTGACATATAATTATATATTTTTCACATTACAGAATAATTAAATTCGAAAGCGCGAACATACGAAAGTCACGCCCCGCGGGATAAGACGCCGCCCGGCGTTTCACCCGATCAGATTCTGTTGCGTTAATCTAAGCTGGGATCGAAACTGTATTTGAAATCGCAGTTTTATGAAAGTCGCGGAGGCGCGAAGGGAGAGATATGTCAGAAAGTCCCGAAAGTTTCTCGAGGAACAATTTACCCAAGACGCCCATTCCTATGATTTGTGGAAACACGACTTTACCGTGGGATTCAATTTTCACCGATGCTCAAGTTATCGGCATATCTTAAGCCGGGGGTTGGCATTGCTCCCGAGACTGCGAATATATAGGGTGTCTTCCATTCTTCGCGCTCGGCGAAGAACTTTTTTAATTAAAAAAAGAGAGAGAGAGAGAGAGAAGGAGGCGGCGGGATCGGATTATTTATTTCAGCTTGTAACTGCCGTCGTATTATTCGCGATATCAAATAATTGATTTTATCCCATTTCACGCACGCGACCCCAAGAACCTAACGAACCACCGTACCTTCATTATTGGTTGGCTACAAAAATGTGCCCCTGAAAGGGTTAAACCGACGGGAGGTATCGAGGCTCGACGAACACTTAGTAATCGCGTGCTTATAAATCGCGCGATCGCAAATGTTTGTCCGGCCGCCATCCCGCGACTCCCCTAATGTGGACCGGAACCGGCCGGAATTCCCCGGGCGGGGAAAATTCGCGGAGCGGCGGTTTCGGTGCTCCAGGAACGCCGCCTCGTTCCATCGCGCGTGCTATCGGCGGCACGAGATTCGCCGACACGGCATAGCTCGCATTCGCCTCGATGGAGATAAGCCGCCAAGTCATACACTCCCGCCCGGACGTTACGAGCATACGTACACGTCCCCCGCCTTCCTGCCTCTCCCCCCCCCCCTTGGATCGGCGCTTTAATCCGGGATATGCCGCCGGTGCACCTGACGAGAGGAGCTTGCGTGTGCCAGCTTGCGCTTATTCAATTATTAGGCGTAAATGTAAATTACTCGAAAATATCGCGAGGACGAGGCAGCCCTGAAGGATTAAGGTTCATTTAGTAAATATTGCTTTCTTGTTTTTCAATGGACGCCCCTTGGGAAAATACACCTTAAAAAAAGTTGACAATTTCACTTTAGAAAAATAAGAAATGTGAAAAGTAATTTTGGACCTACTTTAAGAATTTAAAAGGAAACTTTGGGTTTGTTTTCTGTTCCTGCACTGGTCAACTAGTGCAGTAAGCTAGAATGAGAAAAAATATGCTTGTCTTACTCCAATTTATTGCACTAGTTCACTAGTGTAGGAACAGAAAACAAGCCTTTTAAGAATTGTGAAAAGTTCGTGATATATAATTTGTAATACTGCGTGCGGTTTCCTTACGAGAAAGTGCTATGCCGCGCGGTCCTCTAGCGGGAACTTCGACAGGCTTGGCTGTCTAAAACTTGCATAATTTGATAATGCACTGACTCTTAGAGAGTAGATGGCAAAAGGGGGCCTGGCGCGTCGTCGAGATATGAAAGCGCCGTTTCCATATTCTACGAATAATAATAATTACACTGCGAGTGACTTTTCTCGCGCCCGCGTTAAAGAAATGGCGCAGATCTCTTTATGGAAATTAATCCCGGCAGGCTCACTCGACCGCTTTATGCGTTATTTAGCTGACACAGGAGCGCGTGTGAAAAATTCATTATTTGATGACAATCTCGTACGGTACGCGAGAAGGCGGTAAAAGATGTATCTCTCGCCCCGTGTTGGACGCGTATATCCGATGAGATTAATCCTCTGTGATGTAACGCTAACGCCGGAATACCTCCAGAAACATTTTTGCTCAGCAAACCGAATATTCTATTTAAAGTCCATTCGGCGGGCGTGTGTGAGTGACGAGAATTTAATTAAAATTCCTTTAATTATAATTGCAAAATGAATATTTTATTTCGTGCTAACACAATAAACGTACAACGCGCTAATGATCTCGCGCGCGCGCGCGGGCGCGCGCGAGCGCGCGTTGATGAATGAGTATTTACGTTTATTATTCATTAACAGCACGCGGGCAATTGCATTATTCTATTCGCGAAATAGAGAGATTAGCTGACGTTACATTACATTGTGTGTAGATAATATATTACGGCGCTTTCGTAACGATCTCTATCTCGGCGATCAACCAATCGTCCCGGACAGGAGCAAGTTACAAATCGCGAAGGAACGTCTTAAGGGGCCAGAGAGGGTAGACGATTTGAAGAAACGCAGAAAAACGAAGGAGGGTAAGAAGAGGAAAAAGAAAAGGAAGAGGCCGGCGAAATCGTCGGCGAGGCTGCCTGCAACGAGATTAAATGAAACCGTGGTGTCCCAACTGGATATCAGCTGCTTCGCGAGGAAGATCCTCAGAAAGGGACATATTAGGGCCCCTTTGATCGAGCATGCTCGTCCCGCCAAATACGCCAGGTTCGTAGCAGCGTCGATTGAGATAGCCGAGATTTAAAAAAAAACACCCTAACACGATGAAACGATTTATCTTGGAGAGAGTTGAGGATTTTCATTTTATCGGGCTGATTCGATATGAATCAAAGTGTTTATCACAAGGGGGTGACCACTTAATGTAATCGTGGAACAGTTTCCGAAATCATGAAATGGTTTCGAAATCCTCATTTTCAAGTTTCTTCAATTGTTAGACAATAAACATTAAAACTGGACGTTTTCTCAACTGGTTTTCGTCTTCCTCCCAAAATTTATACTTCTTTTGGTGAATTATTATTATTTTTTTTATAATAAGACTGAAGTAGTTACTGTTAGAACAACGGTGAGTTGAAACGTTGATACACCTTTGCGCGCAAAGGTGCGGAACAATAAACAGTAGATGCAAATACAAAATTACTTCTCGGTTAGATTAGTCGGAAAAGTGGGAAGCAGGGAAACGCGTTTTCTACAATCTTAACTGAAATTACCTCTGCAAGCAGATACTTAGTAAAATAAAAATATATAATGTTTTCAGGAACTCTAATAGCTCTTTGAGATTTAACAACCTCATACACTTTTAAACGTGCGTGTAAGGAAATTATTTGCAATTAGATGAAATTATTTCTAATCAAATAAAATCGTACGGAATCAAATGGAATCGTGTAAATCGGTGGGACAACATTTTAGCCAGTGGTCACCCCCTTGGTTTATCACCCGGGGAAATTGATGGCGAACTCGAAAGTACAGTTTGCCGAGTTTAATCGCGCGTAGAACTCGAATGCTTAAAGAATTATGCAACGGGCTAACCGCGACGCATTATATCGAATCCAGCTCGACGTAGGACAAAGCAAAGTGATAAAGTATATACGTATCCGGAATAATAGGATGTACATTGTGTTCTATAGAAGGAAGAACGTATTGCCGCCGTACAATCGATACCTCGTTGCGGTTTACGAGTGCGCGGACGGGTACGTCTTCGTGGACTCGACGACGGACAGGCTTTTTTGCAGCAACGGCACCTGGCTCGGGCGTCGCCCGAAATGCGTGAGGGACACTCGTAAGCATGAACACTATTTATCCCGGTAATAATCATACGCGCGAAGTGTGCGCGGCTTGCGTTGACGCGCGCTCGTCAATCATATTTTTCAATTCTACGTACGCGTATGTGTACGGGAATCGATTTGCGAATGTGTTTATGAAATGCTCCAGAACTGCCGGCGGATAAGGTGAAACGTTGCGATCAGGGAACGGGCGAATGCGAACACGTGTGCGAGGATACGCCGAGCGGCATAAAGTGCTCCTGCTTCGACGGCTTTCGAGCTAAAGGACCGTCCTGTATCGGTAATCCATATGCCCACAGCCATATACAAATTCACCACTGCATATTCCACATTTTTATACCTTTTGAGGAAAGTCAAACTCGTACCCCCCTTTCCCCCTGTTCCTCCCTCCTCCCGCCCCCCCCCCCTCTCTCTCTCACTCGACACGCGATATTTCCGTCGATATCCTCCGCGAAATTCGCGTACCGTCTTCGTATTGACTAGCCACTGGTATCGATTCGTTGTACTCGCTGTTTTCGACGTTCCATCCCTTCGACGTGTCAGTTTTTCATCTACCGCGCTTTATATTCGTAAATTTATGGAATCGGCGAACACACACCTGAATAATGCACGTCGTCGCGGTGTGCTCGCGCGGCGAAAATAATTTTAGCCGGGGACGTGCACGTACGAATGGCAATTTTAAGCGCACTCGAGAACCGACCGCCCGCCGTAAATCACCGCCGTCTTAATAATGGGATTATCGGTTTTGGCGCGTACCGCACTATTTAAGAGTCGAATTGCACGTACTATACCGCGCGATATCGAGTTTAAAAACCGTTATCGGGCTCGGACATTTCTCCGCGCGTACGCCGGTTTTCTATTTTCGCTCCGCCGCCCTGTAATACGCAGCATGTTTGCAGATCGTATCGCGTTTGTAGCCCGATGATTGCCCGATCAGCGTGTAACGTAGCCCGAGTGTTACAACACGCGATATCCCAGCGTGTCGATAATACGCGATTGTTGCCGTTGAATCTCTCACTCCGCGACTCGCGATAAAATGCTAACAAATATACGCGGACGGGAATTTTAAAGAATAATATCCACCGTCCTTCGCAGAACGCGCCAATTAATTATCCAATTTGGCGCGTGCATTAGCTCCCGCCGTTGTGCTGCATCGGTCTTTCGCTCCTCGCGAGAAAAAACAAGAGGGAGAAACGAAAGTTGTGTAAGAATGTTGGGAAAATTTAATTACGACGTTGCCGCGTCATGTATAAAATTGCGAGGCGCTTAAAATTCGATTATCGATTTTCCTCTCCTCTCTGATATTCTCTCAGACGTCGACGAGTGTGCAGAAGGCATTGCGAAATGCGCCGATATTTGCCGCAACGAGCCCGGTTCGTACGCTTGCGAGTGTCATCGTGGTTTTCAGCTGGGAACCGACGGTCGTTCTTGCCAAGGTTAGTCACATAGAAAGAAAGATCTTGGAACAAATATTTACTAACTCGCCGGTCCCGCTTTTGTGTCGGCGTATCTAGTATTTCCACTTACATTTACACGTCCGCGTCACCGAAAGTCTATCGCAGCTCCAAGGGGCAATTTATTTCAGCGCGCCTTGATTCAATTTATTATTTAATAAACGAGAGATAATTGCCGGGAGGGAATTCTCTCTGTACGGCTGCACGTGTATTGCTCTAGACGTCAATGAATGCCTCTCAAACAACGGTCACGGATCCTGCCAAGGCACTTGTCGCAATCTCGATGGTAGCTACGAGTGCAGTTGCGAGGATATCCCTGGGTACAAATTAGCTGCCGACAATCACTCTTGCGAGGACGTCGACGAGTGCGCGCTAAACAACGCCAACTGTTCTCACCTGTGCTTGAACACACCCGGGAGCGTCTTCTGCCTCTGCCCGGACGGTTTTTACCTGACGAACGATTGGAAAACATGCCAGGGTAAATGCTCATCTCACGTTCGTTTCCGATCGATCGTTTTAGTTTCTATTCTCAATTTTCTATCGTGAATTTCCGAAAACCACTCGCACCCCGTTCATGTGTTCCCCGATGTTTCGAACGATCTCAAGATAAACGTCTTTAAATTTTTACCGATGAGAAAAACGAAGGCACAAAATGTTCAAATGAAGTCATATGGGATTCGATATTTTCTTGTTACTTTTTGGACATATATTTACATAGTTAAACGCGCTTAAAATAGTTTCACATGGATTTCCAACTTTCCGCGTGAAGCCGAGGGTCCACCCCACGCCCCTTGGTGCTTTCGGTGCGGAGCGAGGTCTATTATTGTACGATTTTACATGGGTTTCCAACTTTCCACGCCGAGCAAGATCCGCCCCATATGCTAAATATTGCTAATTAGTTTAGAGAATTTTTAACACAACATTTTTTAGACATACGGTTTCAAGTTTTGTCGGTGAAAATTTAAGGATATTCATTTTGCAGTCATTCGAAACATTTTCACCAAAGGACACGTAAATGGGGCGTGGATAATTTTTCGGAAATTTTTCTATTTATTTATATTTTTACAATTTTATAAAACTATTAAAACGTTGGTTCAAATGTTTAATTGCATTGCGATATGTTTTTCTACCTCGGTAATTTCGTTCTCATATTTTAGATCGATTGATCTTACAATATTTATGTAGAGTCTCTTCTCCCATTCTACTAAAATCTTATGTAGGAATTAATTTTGCAAGAGTGACTATTATAAGGTCTGTTCTTCTGCAAAAGTAAGTGTTATAAATAAAACTTTATTACTTACTTTTGCAGAAGGGGACGAATAAGTTAGAATTTGTAATAGTCACTTTTGCAAAATAAATTTCTACATAAGATTTTAGTAGAATGGGAGAAGAGATCCCAGATAAATATTGTAAGATCAATCGATCGAAAATAAGAGAACGAAATTACCGAGGTAGAGAAACATATCGTAACGCCATTAAACGTTTAAACAAACATTTTAATAAGTTTATTACAAAATTGTTATCGTTTCCAATCAGATATTAATGAATGCGAGGCGACACCGACGATTTGTGCAGAGAACACTGTGTGCGAGAACACAGTGGGATCGTACAAATGCACGAGTAGGGTACAACCGCACGTGGTAACGAAGATCCTTCGAGAAGAGGACTACGATGGCGAAAATGAAGACGACGAGGACGAGGACAACGAGGATTACGGAGAAGAGATTACCGAAGTTCCTCAGAATTCAAAGTGCGAAAACGGCTTCAAGAAAAACGAAAATTTCGAGTGCATTGGTAAGTGTATCTGAGGAGATAAACTTTTTATCAGTAACACCTATAATAATGACAACAATGTCCCGATAGTCTAGAAAAATGCGATGCCTAAACGTCAAAATTTTCAAATAAAAATGTTAAGACACATTGCGCGAACCTTCCGCCTCTCTTAATTCCTTATGCATACTTTTCTCCGTAGAAAAACTAAAGCTGAAATAAAATTTCCATCTGAACGAGACCCGGCCGACGCTAATCGGGAAAGGGGGTGCTATCGACAGTTTCGGAAAGCGAGATCACCCCGCTAACATTTTCTTCCAGATGTAAACGAGTGCGTCGAGAGTGAGTCGCACGGCTGCCAGCACGAGTGCGTGAACGAGCCGGGCGGCTACCGTTGCACCTGTCGAGCCGGTTACGAACTCGAGGAGGACGGCGCGACGTGCAGAGACGTGGACGAGTGCAACATACCTTTCCGATCGTGTTCGCACACCTGTCGCAACACCATTGGCGCGTACGTGTGCGAGTGTCCTTCGGGGTTCACGTTGAAGGACGACAACGCGACCTGCGTCGAGGAGCTCAGGAGCTGCGCCGGCCTGACGAAACCTTGCTCTCACGTCTGCGAGGACACCGTGGAGGGACCGCGATGCGTCTGCCTGGCCGGATACGAACTGTCGGACGACCGTGCGACCTGCACGGACGTCGACGAGTGCGCCCGGGGGGCTCCGTGTTCGCACTCGTGCGTCAATTTGGACGGCGGTTTCGTCTGCACGTGCCCGAACGGTCTGGAGATCCTGGAGCACGCGAGCAAATTCAACTGCACCGACGTGGACGAGTGCGGCAGGGACGATCACGGCTGCCAGCACCGGTGCGCGAATCTGCACGGCGGATACGAATGCGCCTGTCACTCAGGGTTCGTCCTGGACACTGACGGCAGGTCCTGCAGCGACGTGGACGAGTGCGCGGAAAATCGACACAATTGCTCGCATGCGTGCAAGAATTATCCCGGAGAATACGAATGCGTCTGCCCGGAGGGATACCGGATCCTGCAGGATGCGCGCACGTGCGCCGACGTGGACGAATGCGCGGAGGGATCGCACGAGTGCTCGCACGAATGCGTCAACGAGGAAGGCGCTTACAGGTGCGGCTGTCCTGGCGACATGTCCCTGGACGATACCGGGAGGAATTGCGTTCTCTCCGACGCGTGCGAGATCGCGAATTGCAGTCACGTCTGCGAGAAGGAGCGGGACACCTACAGATGCACCTGCCGGGAAGGATACATCTTGCAGGACGACGAGAGAACCTGCTTGGACATGGACGAGTGTCTGGAGGATGAGCACGATTGCTCGCACGAATGCATTAATAGCCCCGGGAGTTACCGATGCGCTTGTCCGCGGGGTATGAGGCTTCTCGAGGACGGCCTTACCTGCGGGGACTCGGTGTGCTCGCCAGGGCTTCGGCAGGACGAGGGCGGTCAGTGCCAGGACATCGACGAGTGTGCCGAGGGCGGGCATGAGTGCTCGCATACGTGCTACAACACGTACGCGTCTTACCGCTGCTCGTGTCCTCTCGGCTGGATCCTGGAGGACGACGGTCTCACTTGCGCGGAGCACGATCCTTGCTCCAACTCCTCGTGCTCACACTCGTGCGTTCCGTCAGGCTCGGGTTACAGATGCGAGTGTCCTCCGGGTTACCTTCTGGACGGGGAGACGTGTGAGGACGAAGACGAATGCGAGGACAAGGCGGTGCACGGTTGCAGTCACGATTGCAGAAATCACGAGGGCTCCTACTCCTGCGTCTGTCCAGCGGGACTGGAGCTCGGGGAGGATAATCGCACGTGCGTAGACGTCCCGGACGAATGTGCGAGATCCCGAGGGAACAATAACTGCACTTGTCCCGCGGGATACACGTATTCCCACGGCGAGCGTATTTGTAAGGACATCGACGAGTGCCAGGACGAACGGAAACACAACTGTTCCCACGGCTGTATTAACACCGACGGCTCTTACTACTGCGAGTGTCCTTCCGGATGGCGGTTGCGGGAGGATTCCAGGACGTGCCAGGAGCTGCCGGATGATCCTTGCGCCAAGGATCACGGTTGTTCGCATACGTGCGAGCAGGACGACGGTCGCGTCCGTTGCGGTTGTCCGGAAGGATACGAGCTGCGGGACGACGGGAAGACTTGTCGGGACGTGGACGAATGCCTCGAAGGATCTCACGCGTGCAGTCACGTTTGCGTAAACGTCGAAGGTGCTTATCGTTGCCAGTGTCCTTCGGGATTTCGGCTGGACGGCGATCGTAAGACCTGCCAGGACATTGACGAGTGTGCGTCCGAGGAGGCTGATTGCTCTCATGGGTGTTTAAATGCAAACGGCACTTTTAACTGCACCTGTCCCGACGGATACGAGCTGCAGGATGACGGCAGGACTTGCGAGGATGTGGACGAGTGCGTCGTCCTGGATAATCCTTGCTCGCATAGCTGTGTAAACCGTAACGGCAGTTACGAGTGCTCGTGTCCTGCGGGATATCGAGGCGAGGACGGCAGGACATGCGAGGACGTCAACGAGTGTATCCAGGATAACGGAGGGTGCTCGCACCTTTGCGCTAACACGGAAGGTGGGGTCGAGTGCGCGTGTCCCGAGAACTACGAGTTGCTGAAGGACGACGGCAAGACGTGCGTAGAGGTGGACGCATGTTCCATCGACAACGGGGGATGCTCGCATTTCTGTCATCACGAGGAGGGCCGGTCGCACTGCTCCTGTCCGCCCGGAATGGTCCTGCCAGAGGACGGAACGGTGTGCACGTACGAGAACGACTGTCTGCAGGACAACGGCGGCTGTTCCCACTTGTGTTACCACGAGGATGGGAACGTGACCTGCGCCTGTCCGCCCGGTATGATCCTGGCGGAGGACCAGAGACTTTGCGTGCAGGAGGACGGGTGTGCGATCGAGAACGGCGGCTGTTCTCACTTCTGCCACGATCGTGACGGTAACGTGACGTGTTCGTGTCCCACGGGGATGTCGTTGTCGCCGGACGACGACGCTCTTTGCATTCACGAGAACAGGTGCGACGGCGAATGTTCGGGTACCTGCGTCCTCTCGGACGGTTCGGTCGTCTGCGAGTGTCCCGAGGGCTACCGTCTCTCGCCGCAGGACAACGCTACCTGCGTGGACGTCAACGAGTGCCTGGAGTTGCGGGACAACTGCACTCATCAGTGCCTGAACACCCCCGGCGGCTACAACTGCAGCTGCAACGTCGGCTTCTCGCCGAATCCTCAAGATCCTACTCTGTGCGACGACATCGACGAGTGCCAGGTCGAGAACGCAGGATGCTCGCACTCCTGCGTGAACCTGGTGGGCGCCTTCAGATGTCAGTGTCCAGCGGAGTACTCTCTAGAGCGGAACAACAGGACCTGCGTCTTAACAGACGGCTGCAGGAGCAACAACGGCAACTGTTCCCATCACTGTCATCGAGTAGACGACGTGACTCCGAGCATCCGTTGTTCCTGTCCGCTCGGTTTCCGCCTGAGGCGCGATCTCAAGACCTGCGAGGACATCAACGAGTGCGAGGAGTTGGAGAATGACGTGGACTCCGGCTGTTCTCACACCTGCGTCAACACCGAGGGCGGTTATCGGTGCGAGTGCCCGGTCGGTTTTATCCTGATGCCGGACAACCGGAAGAATTGCGTAGATGTGAACGAGTGCCTGACCAGCGGTCACAATTGCACTCACGACTGCGTGAATCTGCTGGGCGGCTACGTGTGCACCTGCTACGAGGGACATTACCTGGACACCGACAATTCTACTTGCTTGGATATCGACGAGTGCCTCGAGCGAAATGGCGAGTGCTCGCACAATTGCACCAACATCAGTGGCGGTCACGTCTGCTCTTGCCCGACGGGCTACGAGCTGTCGCAGGACGAGAAGACCTGCGTCGATGTCGACGAGTGCGCGAGCGACAACGCCGGTTGCGGCCACGGGTGCGTCAACACCGTGGGGTCCTTCCGCTGCGAGTGTCCGCCGAATCATGAGTCCTGGAATGGATCCTGCCGGCCGTCCGATCCTTGTCTGGACCGTAACGGTGGCTGCGAGCAGATCTGCGCCGCGGTGAACGGTACCGCGGTATGCTCGTGCGAGAAAGGCTTCCAAAGGGACGAGGCCGATGGTTTCAGGTGTCGCGATATTGACGAGTGCCAGGAGCAGCACGGCTGCGATCACATTTGCGTCAACAAGCCCGGCTCGTACGAATGCATATGTAAAGAAGGCTACCGAATGGAGAACTCCGCTTGCATAGGTCAGTGAGGCAACTGTTCAATTTCGGAGTCAATTTCGGATACTGAAAATGTTTCTTTTAAAGCTCCCACATATACGTATTCTCGACATCCTTAAGTGGCGAACAATAGATTATTCGTGGCCGATTTACCGACCAATCTCGACCACCTTAAGATGTTAAAAGAATTTCTGGAAAAAATCCGTTTAAGACTTCTAGTATATAATTTTGAAATATTACTGAAAATAAAGCAGACGTTCTAGCTGTTACTTGTGAAAAATAGATCGAATGGGCACTTAAACAGTTGTGATGTCACAATAGATAAAAATAAAAAGAGTTCAGTGATTTTTACTTTGAGAAACAAAGACAAGAAAATCGAATTTTCCATAGAATTATTTGACCGCTTAAAGATAACCCATTTTCTCCACGAGAAAAAGAAGTTAATTGAAGAAATACTTCATTCATTTCTTTGATACAAAGATGCATTTTTACTATTATAAAAAATCAAATAAAAATGATACAAGAAATTATTCCTTTTCATCTCCGGTGCTTCTCACGTTGTGATAATCTTATCTTTTTTTCGTTTAAAATACTAATTTGCATTAATAAATTTTTTAGCATTTTTATTGACATGCAAACACATACGCAATGAAAGAAGAATTTGGTAAAACAAATTTTTTACCTGCTTGTCAAAAGCTTCTAACGGCGCATATCGGTCGCTCGCAACTTTGCTTCCTCACTGCTTGAAGGATAACTTAAATTTCACGTTGCCTCGCTTGTATCTCCATCATCTTAAATCCTATTTAGAGGAGAGAGCCATTCGCATCACTAAAAGGATCTTTTAGAGACGCGAAAGGTTCAGAAATGACGACATGTACGGGGAATGAATCATGTACGTTGCTTAAGGATTAATTGTCGTTACCGAATACTAAATCACATACAAACGAGTCTCCATTGCGCTTTGACGAGGTACTTTTTCTTAAAAAAAAAAGAGGAAGAAGAAGAAGAAAACCGCGCATGCGGCGGATCGTGCGCATAAAGCCGTAATAAACGCAATTAAGGGCGGGACCGTCTCGAGTCACGTTTACAATTTGCATTGTTCCAATTCGTTTTATTATCGCCGCTAATTTTCCGAAGATAGTATCGTCACCTCCGGAAAATCCGAGGGATAACGCGCGGTTCCCGGTTACACGGTTTCGCCCTTTCCACCCTCCCTCTTACTTGCGCTCCAGTTTCGAAGCTCGCTGCAAAGTTAGACTCGCTTAGCTCGAGCGGAAGTTTCTCGCGAAGCGACCGTGTGTTTGAACGTGTGCGTTTTTTTCTTACCCCTCCCTTTTTTTTCCTTCCAGACGTCGACGAATGCGCAGCCGGTATTTGCAAGGGCAACAAATGCACCAACGTGCCGGGCGGCTATCGCTGCGAGTGCGAGGCGGGATATCGATTCCAGGGTGATATCTGTGTAGGTTCGTGTGTAGAACGGAAAACGTGTGCTCTCGAGAAAAAACGATGTCGCTTAATCGTAACTGAACTGAGTTTGCTTTTGCCCAGACGTCGACGAATGCGCGGAGGAGGCGTCCTGCAGCGAGGGATGCGTCAATATACCCGGCTCGTACTACTGCACGTGCCCCACCGGATTTCGTCTGCAGGGGGACGAATGCGTAGGCAAGTCGAGGCGAACGCACGCTGCAAAGTGTAATCGCGTCGCATGGGATTTATATTAATATATCTGTTTCATATATTATTTGTTATAATTACAGGTGCGACAGTTGATGTTATTTTTTCGCATTTTTGCGTTTTGTTTTTCCAGATTTCGCGTTACTTTCATGTTATTTTTTGGCACCTTTTGCGCTTTGTTTTTTCTTTGCATTATTCTGATAATTTGATAACGCCGTGGCCAGAGGTGGGCAGGGCTTCAATAAGACGACTTAGGCCCGGTTTTACCAACGTCGCTTACCTTTAAACTTATAGTTTAATTCGTTCTTTGTCTCTTTCCAACTGTTACTTTAGGAAGAGGCAAAGAACGAATTAAGCTAAGCTTAAAACTAAACAACGTTGGCGAAACCGGGCCTTACGTGTTACATTGCACGATCGTGTACGTGCGTATTTTGTGGATATATTCTTATTAGGTTGTTGCACATATGAAATAGCCGTTCTTGAAATGAAACTTTCGCCAATTGCTTTCAAATGCCGAGTAACTGTTGACTAGTGGACGCCCAGTTGTTCCGCAATATCTCTAACAGTTTGACGTCCATCGGATTCCACCAAAACCCTTAGCTCGTCGTTGTCTATGGCCGTTTCGGAGTGACCACGAGGTTCATTTTCAAGGCTTACATCTCCTGAACGAAAACTTTCAAACCAACGCCTACCCATACAACACGCATGTCTAAAAGACGTCTTAAAGATGTCTTTTAGACATGCGTGCTGTATGGGTAGTTTTGTTCACTAGTTGTGCTTTCTCCAAACCCCGTATTGATGTTTCTGGCTGCTTCTGCTGCATTGTATCCGAATTTAAACTCGAAAAAAAACTATATATTTGGCTCTTATCCATTATTTCAAGTTGGCTGGTCACAAAACTGTTGACAGTGATTCAATAAAAAAATGAAATATAGGTTTTGAAGATTAGGATTGTCACTTTAATTTGACATATAACAATTGTCTCGTCCCGTTCGTTTTTACGTATTAAAACATCACCAACGTTAGCAATATGTGAAAACGGCCATTTCATGTGCAACAACCTAATATAATATTAATCTCATTAAAATTTCATTATTAAAATTAATCAATTCTCTTCCCCGATAGGAAAATGTCCCGAATATTGCGTAATAATTGCATCGTCCAAAAGGAGGAAGTTTCACAATGATTGCACTAAGGCGATTCGCCAAAACGCAGCTGTGCTTTGCTGACACACTATTTAGAAATACATTGTGCAAATATTTATCACTATTTGATCACGTAAGGTCTCCATTTCTGCATACGTTGCTCGAAACACGCACGCATAATTCCAGCATTTCAAGTTTCATCCCCATTTCGTCACGCAATTCTCTAAATATTTTCCTGTCGGGGTTTATAATGTCGATATTCTCTTAATCTCGGAAATTGAACCCACCGCCAGATATCGATGAATGCGAGTGGCGTCGCGGCAGATGCGATCAAGAGTGCGTCAATACCGCAGGGTCGTTCGTTTGCGCCTGTCGTGCCGGATATACGTTAATTTCGAGGTAAGATCTAACCGGCATATACAGCAATGGGGAAGAGAGGCAGGGGTTACACGACTCCTTATGCATGGAATTGCACAAGCAGGAGTCAGTGTCAAGACGTGAACGAGTGTCTAAACCGGAACGGCGGTTGCGCCGGCGAGTGCATCAACACCGCCGGAAGTTACCGCTGCGCCTGCAGCAAGGACTCGGTGCTGGCGCCCGACGAGCGAACTTGCGTGCCGCCGACGTCGAGGTGTCGCGCCATGGAGCCACCCCTGCACGGAGAGGTACGAACTGTCGCGCGTATATCGCAAGCCACTTTAGATGAATCGAGCTACAGCCGAAATATCTCAAAGAGACGACACGCCGTTTCCAGCGCGTCCCACTTTGCATTTTGCACGCCGCGTTAAAGTGTTGAAAAAAAATGTTCTGAAAAATTCCGAGTTGTAAAACAGTCTGAAAATAATGGAGAATTTAGAGGTATTCTCAGAACAACCGGCGGAAATTAAAACGGTAAATTGAAACGAAGCTACGGGGTTTTAAAATGAGATTAAGGTGGAACGAAAGCGCGTACACGGGCTAGTCGGGAGCTGAAGGAATGTTCATAACAACGTAATTCGTGCACCGAGGTAGGAAAGTTGTCGATATGACTAAATATATTCCGTCGCGGTCGTTTCTTTAGTACAAACATTTGTTTTGCAGTTAAACACACGTCAATGCACTGAGCAAAGCAAAAGTTCGCTACCGTAGACAATCGTGATTTACTAAAAGTATTTTGCTGCCATAACTATATAAATTTCTAAAGCACTAACGGTTTGCGGTTGCACCGAATTCAATAGGCACGGTAGCAAAATATTAGCTATCACAACTAAATATAAGCTGTCCATATTTTGCAGCTGAAGTTTAGTTCACCACGTGCAGTTTTTAGGCGGCTACATTTTTTCCGTGCGACATTAACGTATCTTCGTGAATACGAAATATTTGCTCGAGAAGTGCGGTACTTTCTTCAATTAATGGTAACAAATATTTGCCTGGCGGCGATCGTCGCGTAATAGCTGAAAAGCATCTCTTTCATTCGACACTTTCCTTCTCTCCGTGTAATGACAGAAATGTAAGCTTCGCCCTCTCAACTGTGCTATTCATCTCCCGTTCTTCTGGGTCTAATCGAGCAGGTCAGATGTCCGGGCCACCCTTCCGGCGCATCCGTCTACCCGCAGGGCGCCAAGTGCCACGTCCGATGTCGCAGGGGCTTCCGGCTGGAAGGGGCGCACACGAGACACTGCGTTAGCGACGGCCGCTGGAACGGGGAAGAGCCTATATGCCTGCGCGAAGTCGCGACAGACCCCCTTTACAATCCAAGTATAACTCGTGGCCCCCACGGTCCCACGGCTGCCAAGAAAAACGCTGCGGGCGCCGCGTCCGTAACTTCGCCGAGAAATTAATCAAAATGTTTATCCGATAAAATTTTTAACAAGCTGACTGTTGCATCGGGCGTCGCTCTAGCACGAACCGCTGCGCCGCTCGCTACATCGTCATCGCGTAATTATTTTCGACGGGAGTTTTTTTCTCCGCGTCGCTATTTTTCCGAGTATAATTTATTCCTGCCGCTCTAGTGTTTTTCAAACGCGCCCGCAGCATTTTTTATTCCTTTTTCGGAGATCCGCGCGTCGCTCTTTTTGAGAGGAGCCCGTCCCCGGCTCCCGTTGAATTTTCCTTCGATTTGCGAAACGGCATTCCTTCCAATTCTACGTAAACGGGGGGAGGGGGCGTTCGGTCGCGCGCGTGCGATTGAACGTAATATAAAATACCGGCCGTGCCGCGCCGGGCAAATAACTTAACGACGAAAATTCTCGGACGCGCTAAATTAGTCATGCCGCTCGGAGCAGCTTTTAATAATACAAAGTTCCTGTGTGGAGGCTGCCTGCTAACGAGATCATACGTTAACGCCGCCCCTTAACGAGCTTACTCGGACCGGCGGGTTTTTACGTTCCGCTCTTCTCCACCCGTTCGCTTTACCCGCTTTGCCGGCTTTTTCATTCGCCGCGCGCATTTTCGCGGTTCTTTCCTCCGCCGGCGCTAATTGTTTCGTTTAATGGAAAGGAGATTTTGATTCTACGTGCCGTTTCGGTTTTTGCCAGTTTACAGCCGCTATCGCCCGGGAATCCACTCTCTCTCCCCCCCCCCCCCTCCTCCTCCCGCGGTACTTGAGGTATTCAAATCGGCTCCCATTTTGAAAGCGGCGCTTTTCGGAGCGGCGCGCTTTAAGTAGCTTCTATCTCTCGCATCAAACGATATTACGCGCGTTTACGGCTTGCTTCATAAATAACGGCGGCTTTACGTTCTACAGACGGGACATACAGGATATTCCCAAGAATCCGCGCGTTCAATTTAACGATAGATTAAACGGGATTACCGATGGCTCGGTGTTCTTTAATTTTAAAATCGATTTCGTATCCGTCATTGAAACTAATGCTTTTTTTGGGGAGGGGGGGAGGACCCTGCGTGTACCTGGCGGCGTACCCTGTTGTTATTACATCCCGTAAAACCGATAGAAGCGTGATAAACGCTTTCACGCGCGACGTGATACTCTCCCGAGTGAAATAACGCTTCTGTAACACCGGCGGCCGATGATACGGGAATTGCTCGCCATCGGAGTTTCTTATCGCGTTACGGCATGGGGAAATTGGGCGATCAGTATCTGAGAGTTTAACTATCGACTTTATCGCCGTAGACACGCCGCGGCCGTTCGTGAGCTGCCCCCAGGACATGGACGTCGAACTACCGGCTAGGCAAAACACGATACGCGTAACTTTCCCGCAGCCGAAGTCCAACATGGACTGGTGGAGGTAAGAAGCGCATAATGGGGCGGCGGTCCTCAAATTCGACGACCGCTGCCAATATCGATCCGATTGGCAAAGTGTGTCAGTGGAAGTTGTGTAAAAGTCCTCGCGCACGTACCTTGCTCGAAACATTGTTACTTTTCAAACATAGAAATCTCTTTAAGTTGCCAGCAATAAATAGCAACACCCTTACGGGAAAAGCACTCGAGTTTTGAGCGTTAACACTCGATTGTCCGACTTTACTCTTAAATTTGGGTGTAAATATTTAAATCTGGGTGTCTACGCCCTATTGCAATTGAGAGAGCGTGAGGAGAATAATCGATTCGTCATTTTCGTAAATCTTACGTCTTAAAGACCTCGTAGACGCCGCGGTATTCGTAGTCCGATCTTACCTCAAGACAGTCTTAAGTCTGATCACGGGCAGTCTTAAGACTTCGTCGAACCGATGAAACGGCCTCTCGTAGAGTCTCGAGAGCGTACTTAAGACGAGCTTGAATATAAGACCAGACTGTGGGGCGAATAATTCCCGTCTAGATTCTAAATAGAAGCCCCCTGTTCGGGATAAAACCGGCTTCGCGAGTTGGTTTTGTGGAGGGATGTATTTATTCGAATTAAACTTGGAGCGTTCTAGGCGTGCGGGGAGGTGTTTTGAGAAATTTCTGTGCGGCTAGAACTAAAAACACGGAGCGTTTTTCGCCCGTTCCTCTATTAATATAAACGAAATAGTTCATAGTTGCTTAAACAAAACATCGCGCGACACGGTTGCACGTCTACCTCGCCGCAACCGCTGGTTTTTTTTGGTGTTCTTCTTTTTGTTTTCCCATTTTATGTTTTTCAGATATGTGCACGCTTCACCTCCGTGGGCAAAGCAATTGCAAGCGGATCTGCCGGCGGGCACGACGGTCGTTACCTTCACGGCGTGGTCACCGGTCTCTAATTACACCAGCACCTGTAGGATCGTGATAAGAGTTCGCGGTAAGTCCGGCGCGGAGGAGCGAAAATCAGGAATAAAAAGAACCCGCTTCGGGAAGTGGAAAGGAAAATGGATCTCTTCTGCGAGCTCCTTTTTCATGCGCTAAGTATCATCGCGGTGGTAAGAACGGCCATTATAAACGACATAAATAAACGTGTCAGTGGGGCAGACAGTAATGAACTATTGGTAATTCACGTTTTTCTTATGCCAAGTCAATCCATGCTGTAACAAGGCGTTACATAATAAACGAGCGTGCTGAATTGCTAATGAAATCTGCGCGTCGGGATCGAAAGACAATTCTGCGAAAGATATAATGAGAAAGGATTTATCTCGACGTACTCCAACGCGAGAAGTGACACCTGTCTCCCTTCAACCGTCAACCGCGCACCTCTGGGCGCGGATAAGAATAAACGGGGACCAGGAAATTCGACAGCTCCTAAGCGGAATCTCTGATTTCACAGATTATCAATCCGCGATCCAAATCCCGTCAAGATTCTATCACTGCCTTCCGCCCGCCCGTTTTATTTTCCGACTCGTCTACTCTCCCCGAGAAAACTTGCCGCGCGGGGGACAATCGATCGGGACGCGGGGAATCGGCCCGGCACTCGAATCGTCCCGACGCGAGCAAACTTCAGTTTCCGCGGCGAAGTGCACTCCGTCCCGTCCCGCTTAATTACTCATTCGGAAAGTTCGCGAAACTCGCTTTAAGCAAGTTCCCTCCGCAACGCAACGCGGCTGGAAGAAGGAGTGCCGGGTGCATCGTCGTGGTCGATATGCGATTACGCAGGATAAGCTCGCGCCGATCGGACGAACTCGCGAGAATCGCGCCGGCACTCCTACGCGAATCTCGGCGCCCCCCGCCCCCGCCCCTTAAAACCGCTTTATCTGGATCCCGTTCGCTCTACATCTCTGCGAGACTAGCCGAGTGGCACAAATGATCGTCGCTTCCAGAGGACTTTCTTAAATTCCTTACGAATCAGCCTAATTCATTCGAAACGAACTCGATAAGAATTCCTTTCCGGTGCGGAGTTCTTTGTTGGAGCATAAAAAGAATTCACCGCGCACCCGAAAAGGAGATCGAAATTGGTGACGTAAGAGCGAATTTTCCCCCCGAACTCTTAAGAATGCTTTTAGAACAGAGGCGGGCTAGAACAAGTATTCCTCTCGTAGATTTGGGAATTGAAAAGGAATTCTGCTTAGATTCTCGCGAGACAACTTTTGGTCCTCCGAGGGACAACTCGATGATCAAGATACGTTGCGATGCTTTCAGACACCGAGAACCCTAAGGTTACAATGTGCCCCGTGTCGTTCGAGGTCAGGCTGAGCCCGGGAGAACGGAACCGCCTGATATTTTGGCAAGAACCGACCTTCACTGATAACGTCGGCGTGGAGCACGTTTACAAAACGAGGGTACGTAGTCGGCCCGAAGAAGCGTATCCCGTATCAGTACTCGCTGTCGGGTGCATGTACGATCTTCCGTTACATCTGCGAAATTTCCTGCGATTTTCCATGACTGTTCGCAAATTCGTGTCCCCCCCCTCCCGATATCGAGCGGCCGTGGAGACTTCCCGCCGTCTCTTTCTCCCTGTCCCGCCGGCGAACCTCCGAAGTTAATTAACCCCCTTTTGCCGTTGACAATCGGGCATATTAATCGAGCGGGGATATCGTCCATTAATTATCCGTTCGTATTTCGAGAAAATGAGACCCCGCGAAGAAACTGCTGCAATGCGGCGCGGGGATAGTATCTACGATTTTCCTCGCGAGCGCGGCACCCGTAGGAAAAACCAGCTGGATGATTAATCATTGTCGGTCGACGCCTCCGTCCTGTTTTTATTGCGTCCTTTTGGCGTCTCGCCGTGGAGAGCGTACGTGTACTTTATTAACGTAATAACAGAGATTACCCTGTCCGCGCGATAACCGGCGCGCGGATAATTGGTGGCTTGCGCTCTCGATAGCGCGGGTTATAAATGGCCTGGGACATTATGCTACCTGACGGTTAATCTGATTAGGCAAATTGAAACGAGAATCGCGGCGGCTGTGCGCCGATCTCTTTAATCGCGTCATTTTCGAGGAGGGCGAAAGACAGGTGCGGGGAAAAAAAAAGAGAAAGAGACCGGTCGCGTCGCAATCGCGGCCGATTTTGGGAAAGCGGCGCACACGAAGCGCCCGGGGCCCCGTCGACACACGTTCCCGCAAATGTACAGCGGATATTTTCCTCGGAGGAAATTTCCATGCAATCGCGCGAAAAGTTAATTATCGTATATCTCGCACAGGGACCCGGACACGTGATGTATCCCGGCGTTCACAATGTGCGCTACGTCGCCTCGGATGCAGCCGGAAATCGAGCCGAATGCCATTTCTCGATACACGTGAGAGGTAAATTTATGCCATTGTGCCCCCGCGGGGCACCGAGAAGGGCTCCGCGGCGTCGTGTCGCGACGCGACGAGTCGCGCCGCGCCGCGCCGCCGCCGCCCCCGCGAATTTCCCTTCGATGGAATATCGCCGCCTCGCGTTGTTTTTTTTACTCATAAATACATAATGCAATTATCGACAGAGAGCGCCAATTGATCCAGTTCTCGTATGTTTGCAGAATCCGCGGATGGTCGCGACTCCGAGGTGAGTACGAATAAATTATTCCTCCCCCCCCCCCCGTCCCCACGAATACTTGGCGCGTTAATCTTGATTTATCTTTTTCGTCCAATTTCGCCTGATCTACTTTTTCCTTTTGTTGGATCACGTAAATTTGTACGATGAGACGGGCGTCTTGTTACGTCGATCCTGATAAACAATTCCGCTCGTAACGGCTTCTCAATCGTACGAAAATATCGGGGCGCCAGTATCCTTTGTAAGCCGTTTAAAGAGAAGCGGTTCCGCGCGCGCGTCTCGTAGAAAGGACCCTTTTTCGAGGATGTAGCCGTAGATTAAAGCGCGCGCGCGTGCGAGAGAGAGAGAGAGAGAGAGAGGGGGGGGGGGGTTGGTGTGGGAAAGAAGGGGGTCTCTCAGTGCACTTATCCGCTCGTTTAGCCGAGATTCTACAGAAGAAGGATGCTGATGTGCCCCGGCAGACCGCCCCAGCCCGTGCCGAGCTCCTCTTACGCGGTGAGTAGACTCGCGATTACGCGCAAAGTCGATGAGAGACTCCGGCAAGTATCCTAACTCGACTTGCAGTGGCAAATACCGAGCGGTTGTTACTTAAGATACACCAGAATCTTCTCCGGGGCTTATCAGCGACATCCGGAACATCGGCAGAACGGCTACCGGGACGCTGGGGCGCCTTATCGCGAGTTTCCGCCTATCCGGCAGACCCCGAGTCGCCCGGACCACGCCAGGACGTACAGCGCCGACGATCGTAAGTGTTCGCACGCGTCACGACTCAGGACAATGCGTGTTTCATCGGAGCGGGGTCAATCCATAATTTAATTGGCGCGATTAAATTGCCGCTGACTTTCTAATTGTTCTACGTGACGCCAAGATGACGTCTCTCTAAAATTTCACCCGAGTGATCCACAATTCTTGTCAGAATTCAAGATGCAACGCCGTTTATAACTTCGTGTAAAATAAAGGAACGAACATATAGTGTGTAATAAAATTATAAATGGAACTCTATCTTGAAATCTTGCATGAATCATAGATCGTTTAGAATGGAATCAAATTTTTATTTTAACCGAGAATGGTCGATAATTCGGCTGACAATCGGCGCGGAGTCGATCCGAATGCAGCCATGGAGGAGAAGGAAATCAAGGGGGGGGGGAGGGAGAAAGGAATGGGGGGGAAAAAGAAGACGAGAGCGATGTGCGAGAGCGGAGGTATCGACTATCGACGATAGTGCTCTATTATGGAAGACACCGCCGTTGGCAGGCGGCGTCTCGAGGGCGGCATCGACCGACCGAGAGCCTGCAGCCACGCGATCGGCGGTCCAGAGTGAAACGTGCGAGAGACGACGAGGGCGATTTGCAATTACGACGGGGGATCGGGGTAACAAGCGGCCGGGATGTTCGACGTGCTGGCGCCGGGGAAGCTTGTCTTAACCCTGCGATCGACACCACCCTTCGTGGCCGAGACCGCCTTCGCTTTAGCCCTGACGATCTTGTTAGCGGCGCCGCTCATCGTGCGCGTTCATCGCCTCCTCCTCGTACGTGCCCCCCGATAAATTGTCTCGCCCGCTCGCCCGCTCGCGGCGGGCGGTGAAAGCGTTACGTTACGCGAGCGCCCTTATCGGGAATTCTCTCGCGCGGCGTCGACGGTGCCAGCCGTTGTTCCCCGTTGATTTTTCCCATTCGCTATTTTTTTTCAATTCCGGAAGCGCGCGCGCTTCCTTCGATAAACAGGAGCCAAGGGGCAGTTTGGCGTCCCCGCTTTTATTTCGTATGACATAGCGGCGCCGTCGACGCTATCGCGAAAAACGCGCGCTTTAAAACCGCGGCGTCGATAACGCTTCCGCGCGGTGTTTCGAGCGGAAGCACCGCGCTGGACTGTAAATTTTCCAATTTCTTTCGGCGCAACCGCGATATAACGTTCGCGTTTGTAGCACAATGGCGGGGGCGCGTGCACCGCGACGCCCGCGATACCGAGCCCATTGAGGGCGATAATGTATACTACCCGCTGCATTACGAAGTCGGAATCGAAGTGAGAGAATTTCCCCGGCGGTCTTTCTTCCCGTAGAAGCGCATATAATTGCGCGAGAGATTCGGAACGAGATTAAAGTAGTTTGTCGAAGAATTTCCTCTCTCTCCTTTTCAAGGGGAAAATTTCACGTCGCGCGTAAACGGACTGCCGCGGCCGGCTTTTAATCCACCCCCTGCGCTCTCCCGGGGGTGAAATTGAACGTTACGTTACGTGTAGGACAAGCAGCTGAGGGCCCTCACGAAGACAGCCTCGTCCTCGCATCGCCGTCGCCACGGTCGATCGTTATTGATACACTTTCCGGCTCCGATCGCCGTGGCCGACTCCACGTCGAGTTCCAGCCTGTTCCGTTCGGAATCCGCTCGCAGGGTCAACTCCACGCCGATCCTACGAAGCAACGGCGGTGCCCCGGGTAGCTTGAGTCGCCGCGAAACTCGAGTCGACGGGGAAAGCGGAGTTCGCGGCTCCAGGATACGGAAATGTCCGCCGCTGGGTCCTTCGCCCTTCGCGGACCCGCCGCGTCCGATAGTCGACATATCGAGCCTCGATTACAAGGCCCATCGTCACAGACTGATCGAGGCGAGCCTGAAGAAGCAGTACGACGACCTCCAGCCGCCGGGCGACGTCGTCCTGAACTCGCTGCACCTCAACTCGGCCGACTCGGTGATCGGCGTGCGGCTCAGCAATCGATACGATCACAGCCTCTTCGATTTCGTCGAGGAGTACTACGACGTCGCCGGGGCGGCGAGCCGGGGAAACGTCGAGCGCCTTCATCCGCTGGATCATTTCTTGTCGAGAGGCGCGAGGAGACCGCGGACCAGCGAGAAGGAAACGGAGACGGTTCCCGAGAGCGGCGTTGATCCCGACAACGGTGGAAATCGTCTTTCGGCAAACGTCGACGGCGATCCCGCGAAACTACCCCGCGTGGACGACAATGGGAATCCGTGCGTTCGAGCGTCGCCACCGGACGACGTCCTCGCGACCCGGGATCCGAGATCGGAAGCGGCGATCTCGAGAGGATCGATTCCGCCGCGATCTCGCAGACGCGCCGGTAAAACGACACCCGGACGCAACGCGGAAGACGACTGTCCGCGATCCGCCGAGCGGAGCTCGTCGTCGAGAAACGATCGACCGGCGAGCCGGGAAGCGACGGCGAGACCGGGAACCGCCGCGGGTCGCTCGCGTGGGTCCAAGAAAAAATTGGAAGACTACCCGTGCGCCGCGTCCCCGCTGTCGGGCGAACGTCGCGCGGACGGGGAGGCCGGAGGGACGTTGAATTTTATTTCGGTGAGCTCCAGCGAGATTGCCAGCATCCGCAGCGATTCCAGTAAACGCCGGGACGACCAAGTGTCGTGCCGCTCGCGCGAGTCATCGATCAGCCCCAGCAGCCGCACGTCGTCGCGTCCCCCTTGGCTGTCGGGGAGCCGAGGCACCTCCTTCAACAGGAAATACGGGAGAAATATCACGGAGATTTCCGCCGCGAGGACCGCGAGACCGATGTCGGCGCGGGGGAGACTGGCAGCCCGAGGACGTTCGAAGGAATCCTCGGCGGGGACGCTGGGTCCAAGAGCGGCGAGCTTCGTCGCGCCGCGGGGGGAGGAATTCACGGGGATGACGAGCGAGGGACCGGGCGAGGAGAATCTCGCGGCGCGGCCACGTGGGCAGCGGAGCGAGTCAAAGGATGTCGGAGGCGCCGCGGCGGAGGCTAACGAGGAGGGACGAGCTTTGAGGACTGCCGATTTGCCCCGCGGGGGGAAATTTCCCGCGAGAGGAGCGACGCTGCCCGACGACGCCGCCACGTTTTTACCGTCGCCGAACGCACGGAGGAAGGCTCGCTCGCCCCGGGCCGCTTCCTCCGCCGACGCACCTGTAACTGCAAGCAAAACTTTGGCGACGAAGAAGCCGGAATTAACGACGAGCCGACGCGGCGCCGACGGCGCGAGGGGGTGTCTGGTACCCGGGAATAATGCGCCGAGGCTCAGCCCCGCGCGAGATCGGCGGGGGTGTTCGGCGAAATTAAATCGCGGCGGAAGGCGTCAGTTAAGAAGCGCGGAGAATCCCTCGAAAGGCGCGTCGCTAAGCCCGCAGATTGAATTATCCGGCCGAGTGTTAAACCCGGCCGACGATACCGATAAATCCGCGATCCCCGACGGCGAGGGGCCCGCGGGGCTCGCGTCGCGAATCGATCCGCGGGTGGAGGCCGCGAGCGGCGGGATTCGAGCGGAAAGCGCGAGGGCGGCGAGCGGCGTGAAATCTAATAGCGCCGGCGACGTCGCTCGATCGAGGGCGCCGAAAATGATGCGGGACCCGCGGGCGAGACTCGGCGCGAACGGCCTCGCGGAGGGCTGCGGGCCCGACGGCGCGGCCTCGCATCCGGCGCGGCTGGATGCAAATTCCGCGACGGAAAGCGGATTAAACGGCACGAAATTGAATACTCGATCAAACGGCGCGGTCGACGAGATGAGATACGACGGATCCCCGTCTGCGAAGTCGTCGTCCCTCGCCGCGCGCGAGTGCGGTAACGTCGCGACGGAGCCGGGAGAGACGCGGCAGGGGTTGCAGCTGCCGCGGCGCGACTCGAAGATAGGACTCGCGATGAATTCCGCCCTCAAGAGGTACATCAAGATGCTGAAGCAGGGCCTGCTGAATCACGGCGACAGACACGGCGTCGCCCTGGCGTCCCTGAGCCTCTCCGACGCCGTATCCATCCTGTCGGAGCGGAGGACGCCCCTGTCGCCCGAGGAGGTCCAGGAGCTGCAGCTCGTGCTCGACAAAATCGAAAGAAATCCCGAGCTGCTGTGCAAACTGTCGTGCCCCAGTATGGAGAGCGTTGCGTGAAAATGCACGTCTCGTCGATACCGGCGTTAATATTTACATCGCGTTTTAATATAATTATTAGTCTTTGTTGCAAAACGATTTGCCGTTACGGTTCGTTGCGTGCTAAGCCGGGCGTAACGAATTTTCAAATGTAAACCCGTTTAAATCGAAACGGTGGGAGTTTAAAACAAAACGCGGCGCCAAATAATTGGCAAACAGATAAAATCGCGATCGATGTTGATATTTCTGCCGGTTGGTTGTTATTGTTATTATTGCCAAAATGTCTATCCGTAATACAAACGTTAAATGCGATTGAAAATGGCACGGAATTGATTTTGCGCGCGCGACAAAAACTCCCGCTAAAAGTCCGATAAAAAATTGAAAACCGACAAAGAGGCCGGCGCAATCACGAAGGCAATTATGCGATTCAGCATATTTACGCGGTATCTCCCCGTTTGTAATTTCATAACGATTAACATCGTAACGGTACCCCGACATGTTTTTTATCTCTTTCGAAAAAGCGCCGTTTTCGTGAAACGAATGCGCTTCGAGTGGCGATCGGCAAAAAAAGATCGATAAACGCTCGCTGCACGCGCTCTTAGGTCCGGTTTCACCAACGTCGCTTAACTTTAAGCTTGTTAGCTTAATTCGTTCTCTGTCTTTTTCCAACTGTCAGGGCCAGTTTCACAAACGTCGGTTAACGGTTAACCAGAGTCCAGTCAACTCTCTATTCTTTTTCTACCTTGTTATCTAAGAGGAGACAGAGAATCAATCAACATTCGGGTAGCAGTTAACCGGCGTTTGTGAAACTGGCCCTTACTCTGGAAATGGACAAGCGTGAATCAAACTGAGGTCAAAGTTGACCGACGTTTGGTGAAACCGGGCCTTAGAATTTTACGTGTGCTCGTAGAAGAGTCGAAACCTCGCGTTTAACCCATCGTGCCTCACTTGCGACCGCATTACTTGCAACTGCAGCGCTAATAAATATACATTCGGTGGTCATTCACTGGCGCAACGTACAACGAGGGCTAACATCTGCATCGTAACAACGGACCGACGTTACGCTAAGTGCTGTTGGCGCACCACGAAGTAGTTAATGAACAGCTCGAACAGTCGCCCTCCCCCCCCCCCACCCTCCTCTCTCTTTCCCTCTCCCTCACGCTGGTGTGTTGCCAGCGTGATTTACATACGCCACGGTTTGCGGCGCAATCTCTTAGGCGCGTTAGAGCCACCGCTTGTTAATAAGACATAGAGAAGAAAAAGGGGGGCAACGACAATGCACGAGCTGAAAGCGGTTTCCGGGATGACGACCGCCACTTACCGAAGATGAAGCGGGATTGTCTTTGGCTTCTGCACGCCTCCTATCGCAGCACAATGATGTGGCTGCGATAAGTAGCGATAACAACAGCGATAATGATAAACGATCGAGAAACGGAGCCGGGGATTACCGGAGCGCGATTGCCACTTTCATTTTTAAATCCACGTCTATTCTACCGCGATGACATTGTCGGATTGCGCGCGAATTCGGTGCTTCTACGCGCGTCAACCCTTCGCGAATCCGATATCGGGCGGCCACCGTTGCGACGTTGAAAAGCGCCGAAGTAACACGGAACATCGACGTAATATACTTTAATCCCTTTCCGCACCCTTTGATGCATCAGGCTTTCAGTGTACCTAATCAATCTTGGTAATCTGACGTAGATTGACTTCATATGATTAACGACAGTATACAGCCGGTACTTGGAAAAGTTTTTGTTTGCCACTTTTACTCTCCCTCCACGCTCTCCCGTCCCGCTTTTTCGCGACCGCTCCGCGCAGCATCTGCATCCCGACGGCTCGTCGCCGCGACGGCTATCTGACCCATTTACTTAAAAGCCAAACGTCAGTCCGGGGCGATTCGGTAAGCTGATTACGGCGGTAATCAAAGCTCTCGATGCGCCGTGTAAACTCGCGTGATTGCGACGACGATTCAACCCTTCGGTGGCGGCGATATTTTTTCGTAACGCCAGTCGTCGCGTATATTTGGGATTTCGAGAGATCCCAATATGAAAAATCCACTTACACTTTTACGCCGGGAACTCAAATATTTTCTCTATTCATTTGGGTTTTCGGTACGTAAGAAAATTATAAGAATGTAAGAAGATAAAAATAACACTTAAAAAATCCCGCGCGACAAAGGGATCTTTTCGCTGCGATCAAATTCGAATCAGAAACGTCGGACGCTAAATTCGCTGGGCACTTTCGCCCCGAGAAAATTTCACAGTACCAGTTTCGCCACGTGCCCTCTCGCACATTAAACAGCATTTAAGGAGCATTAAAACGTATTTATCGCGAGGAGATGAAGAGAAGTCGTATCCTTTGACTTGGAAACAATGTCTCTGGCTCGCGCGACTTCGGCGGTACTCAATAATGGGAAAACGTGTGTTCGCAGATCGACACCCCGGCCGACAACAATACCATCCCCTCCGGCAGGCGCGGGAGCAGCAGCTGCAGCAGCGGCAATATCGGCAACGCGCCACCGGGACCGATCACGTAGTTTCGCCACCGACTCATTACGGCGCGGGCCGCGTCGAGACTAGAATATTGCCGCCGCGGCATGAATGTTGCACGTAAGGGCCCGTGAACGACATGTAATAGACGAACGTAAGTTAATTCCGCCAACCCCGCCCGCCGTCCCCGCTCCCCTTCGTGGAAAGACTGTCGCGTAAATCGGCACCTGCGAGCACCTGCGCGTTACCCGTAACTGGTATGAAGATCGATCGCTGTAATTAACTCTGGAAAGCGTGGCCTGGAGGAAAATGGTGTAAGACAGTGCACTGCGACTCGCGCGCGCACCAGCATTTCTGTTTCACAAACGGCGTGGCGTATTTCCCCCAAGCGATTTTTGTTATTCGATACTTTCCTCGCGCGGTTTTTTAAAAATGAGATTTTAAACGAGCCCGTTAAAGAGATAGTGCGTGATCACAGCGGGTCGAGCTCTTCCGGAACTCGTCACGTTTCCGAAATCTCTCGATAGAGACTCGCGGCGAACTCGCGCGTGCACCAACATTTCCGTTTCGCGAAACGGCGTGGCGTATTTTTTCCAAACGATATCGATTTTTGTTATTCGATGCTTTCCTCGCGCGGTTTTTTTAAAAATAAGGGGCTAAAACGAGCCTGTTAAAGAGATAGTGTGTGATCACAGCGGGTCGAGTTCTTCCGGAACTCGTCACGTTTCCGAAATCTCTCGATAGAGACTCGGAGGCGAACTCGCGGGCGCACCAACCTTTCCGTTTTGCAAACGGCGTGGCGTACTTTCTCCAAGCGACATCGATTTGTATTATTCGATACTTTCCTCGCGCGGTTTTTAAATGAGAGATGAAAACAAACCTGTTAAAGAGATAGTGTGTAATCACAGCGTATAATGTACACGGGTTCTTCCGGAACTCGTCACGTTTCTATCTCCCGGTAGAGACTCGAGGCGAACTCGCGCCTCGGTCGACGACGCGTCGTCGTCAGCAGCAGATTATTTCCGCATAGCCAAGTAAATCAGCAATGGAACGAGCTGCCGTCGTCAATGAAATGCTATTTAAGAGTAGATAGATATAAAATAAGAGAGTCCGGGCGAACCGACGCGGCGCGCACGGTCGTTTTAATAAGCGATGCCAATAAAAGATTCATCTGTTACGCGCCGGCACAACAATACGCGCCCGCGGCCGCGACGGCTCGCGCGGATCGTTCCGCGACTTCTTTGTAATATACATACGTACATGTGTATGTATATACGTATATTTAATACATAAATTTTATACATCTATATTAATATGTCGTACGATGACAATCGATCGTTATCGTAACAATGATATGCGAGAGTGACGGGTAGAGGAATATTATTAAATAGTAAACGAAATACCTCCATCCTGTCTCTGCGCCACCGCGGACATGGGGTTGGATCGCACCACCCTGGCGGGGATGATTCTGGTGGGACCGGAACGCGGAGTAGAGAGTCGAAAGTTTCTCCAGAGCTTTACATGCGGCACCACGCGAAAACCAGATTATGTACAATACAATCGAATTTTGAAAGGAATTATCTTCTTTAAGCGCTCGCGCGACGATCTCCGTCGGGCGCGAGTCCGCTCGGTCGCAGCGCAAAGTTAGGGCCCGAGCAGAATGGCTGTTTTGTATAGTCTTAAGACGTAAGACAGTTATTGTGCGTTACCTCAAGACAAAGGCTTAAAACATAAAACATTGTTTTGAGGCTGTCTTAAGGGTATGAGATAGCCATTCTGTGCTCAGGCCCTTACACGTTGCGATCTGAGCTCACTTTACGGTGGTCCGCTTCTGCTTTAACCCTTTCGCGTTACGACCGCGCCGTGCGATATTTCGTCGTTTGGCGGGGCACAAAACCGCATCGGGCGCCGCGATTATTAAACGCGCCGTTCGCTACCAGCTTACATAACGAGCACTATTAATTGATCAATGACGCAAACGCGGACGATTGTTGGTTTCGCGCGAGCGCGTATTAATGAGGGCGTCGCGCAAACACGCGGTGCGCTTTCCACGTCTCTCGTGTCGATTTCGCGAGTACACAGTAACCGATAATCATTTACGAACGAAAGAAGGACGGCGCGACGCCCTCGTAATTGGGGGCGCTTTAAGAAGGCGGGATTTCCGTCGCCTGCAAATACGCGTCTCGCTTGTGCCGGAACGTTGTAATTAGACGGCAGTTAATTATTCGTCGCGCCAACTCTGTAAACAGTCCTCTCTCGCAACCGTACTTCGCGGGATTACCTTTCATTTCGCGCGCCTCGAGAATTTGTTATTCATCATTTAATATAAAGCGCCGTTGAAAGGGAGAGGAGAAAAAGGAAGACGCGACGATGTTTCCTAACGATCAGTAATTTTTGCTCGAGACACTCGACGAATTTTCAATGGCACAGCTGAAAGAAGTTGCGAACAAGTTCGAAGGGGCGTACTGCTGTCGCCGTAAGAGCATGATTGTCAATTAAAAATTGCAACTGTTCCACCCGATCGGCGCGAAGCTCATCGCGAAACGCTGCACCGACAGAAAAAATTTCCGGATCCAATGCTATTACACTTCAATGTATCATAAAATAGGATCGATATGGCGCCATATTTATCATAGAGAAAGGAATATTTTAATCTTAAATGAAAAATCCTAAAATCTAGAATAAAATAGTATGCATCGTCTTTTGTCGAATATCGCGGTGCCAAGATGGAGGGAAAATTTAATCTGCAAGAATACATAAAGTTACTCTTGTCTCAATATAGAAGTCAATCTCTTTCAATTCGATAGAGAAGAATAAGAATTATTGATTTTATTTTGATATTGTCTTATCTTTATACTAAATGAGGTTGTGAGAAATGTAAATGCGTCAAGAATATTTTTTGTCTCGGTAACCGAAATCCTTTCTGAGGGTGTGACAAATTACACAATCCATATCGAGTCAAGTTGCATTTACGAAAGAAAGCATTATACGTTTTTATTCATTTGTGCCTCCGTAAGGCGTTGAAAAATTTTGCAAGCTCGAGACCGAGCCCTCGAGACGAAGCGGCACTCTATCAACGCGTTTCTCCCCCTCTCCCTCCCTTTTCCCCGCCTATTTATCTTCCTCTTTATCAATACGATCCCCAAATATTAGTCTTGAAGCGCGATAGCTCATGCAACTTAACACCGCGAGATTCCGCGTCAGCTCGCGCGGAATATCGGCGCCCGCGTGTGATTTTGACGGCAACGCACGCTGATCCCCCATTGTCTGGCCTTGTCAGCGGGATGCACACACCCGGCGAGATTCTTGTCGCGAGCAAGAAATTCGGCGTCGCGTACGCGCGCGCGAGACAGCCGCGTTAATTACCACGGAATATATTCGCGAGGAACGCTATGTCACACGGAAGTTCATCGCACGACGACGTAATCGGCGCCCGTTAATTTCTGTTCAACGCGCCTACAACGGGAGCCGATGACGCGAATTTCGTCAACCCCCCTCCCCCCCGCCTCCTCCCCCCGCGTAATGCGGTTATTAACGCATTATGTAGCTGGTAGCTGGCACGGTCTTTCCTGGATCGCGAGGAAAATCGACACGGTGATCGGGAGGGGAGAGAAGGAAGAGGAATACGCCGCGGTGCGAGGCGTTGATCGACAAAATCGTGAGGATGCTCAGCCTGAACGCGAAAGTTTTACGGGAATTTTAACGCGAGGGCGAATTTGGCGCGGGGGGGTAACGCGTCCCGCGTTTCCACCCCGAGGGAAATTCCCACCTTCCCCCGCTCGCGCAAGACAATGATCTTCGCTTCGTGCAATGGAAACGCTCCGTACAACGCTATGTAAACTATCGTTACGTTACTCTATCAAAAGTGGCAGTTCGATGGGAGTTCGATCGCATAAATCTAGCGGCTAAATCGTTACGTACTTCCATCCCCTGTCCTAAAACTTGATTACGCCCGGCGAGTCGCGAGCGCGCGAGGGGGAAAGAGGACCGAGAAAGGGCGACGTGTGCGAAGGGACATCCGTTTTTCCTTCTCTCGCACCTTTCCCCGCGTGTAACCTGCCGGACAAAACGGAATCCATTACGGGGCCTATGTAAGGAACGTCTGCGCCCGATTCCCGTAACATTTCCATTTATATTACCTTATCGTTATTCTTCCGCGCTGCTTCTTCCCTCTTCTCGCCGTCCGTTTGTCTCGCTCTCCTCCCTCCCTCTCGCTCCCGCGTCCCCCGGTTCTTCCCCGTCGCGCCTCCCCGGCCGTTCACTCCTGACGAAGGACCACGACGAAGACGCACTTGCTCGACCAACCGGCCTCGTCGCTCGCCTCGTACTCGATCCTGTGACCGCCGACGTTGAAGTGACGACCCGGGCTCTGCGGCAAAGTAAAGCCTGGTTTTTCACTTTCTGCTTAATTGTTAACTAAAAATTAGTCGATTCTCTATCTTAGGTAATCCCTTTTTAAAAAAAAGACATGTCACCGGTGTGCACGTCGTTAATATCGAATATTTTCCGCGATGCCGATTGATTTTCTCGAAACCGGTGTGTTTCACTTCTCTTTTAGTTTCGTGTCATTTTGACAGTTCGTAAAAAAACAAAAAGTTTAAAAAAGAGAAGTTAAACATTTAGGCCGGTTCATAGTCAGATCTTATATTCAAGACTGTCTCAAGATCATCTTTAGATACTCCGTAGCCAATGCAATGTTCCATGCAGCAGCTTTAGATAAATTCAAGACGGTCTTGACTGTAAGATCTGACTATGAATACCGGCCCTAAATGAGTGAAGGAGAATGATACTGACAAAGTAAGATTTAATAAGAAAATGAGAGACAGTGTGAAAAAATGCATTGAAGTGATACCAATTTAGTACACACAGAAAAATACAATATACTACCTGCAAGTAAAGATTATTTGTTCCAAGTATTTGATAAGTTTATATATCCGCAAATCTATCATAATGTCGTCGCAAGTGTTATATTTACTCAAAACATATTCTGGTTCTTAGTAAGTCTAGTACTTGAAACAAAAATACATAGAATTATTTGAAGCAAAACAATTTTGTTTCTTCTGATTTTATTAAAAGAAGCATACGGAATTCTTCAATAAGTTTTATAATTTTCTTCAAAGAAGAATAAATTCTTTCTTTGAGTATAAGATGGCAAGCTTTTCTAAGACTAGTAACAAGCATATCTTAAAACTATTATTAAGAAAATATTCTTTGTTAAAGCAAACTATTACTTAAACGGAATAAAATAAACTGAGTAATTACTTTTCTTGACTGTACAATAATATTTTTCTGTGTGTAAGAATGGATGAAGATAAAAGGTATTATAAAAATATTATTATGTGTTATAATTATTAATTTAAAACAACGATTTAAATATCAACTAGCAATAAGTTATCAAGAGAATGGAACAATCTACCCTAAAATATAAAAATAAAGATAATGGCTGAATGACGCGCGCGTAAAGTATTCTTCTAGTAATATAAAAAAAAGATAGAAGTCGACTAACCTCTGCTTAGTTAACCAGAAAATGAAAGACCGGGCCTAAGACGGCGAAACGTCGTCGCCGACGATAAATCGTCGTGGTAAGGGGCGAGGGTGAGGAGGGCGGGAGAAAGAGAAAGAATTTCTGCCGTGCGCAATTCGTCGCCGACTTCCGGAGGGCTCAAGTGAAAATCACCCCTTCCGGGAGCGAGCGAGCGCGAGAGAATTTTTGGCACGAGCCGAGAATCCGCGGGAATCTCGCTTCCCGCCGGATTTATTCCGAAAATCCGCGTCCCTCTCTCTCTCTCTCTCTCTCCCTCTTGCAGCGGAAAATTACGCTTAACTAATTTTACGCTCGCGGCTTTCGTACCCGGAAATCGCGTCCGTATTTCGCGCCGCGCGAAAAATTTGCATTATTCATCAAAAGGCGCGCGGTTCCGGGGACGAAGGGGGTGAGGGGAGAGGAAGGCTAGGGTAACGATTCGGGGGTGATAATTGACGCGCGTCGACAAACAAGCTAATTAAAGCCGGCGATACACGGCGCATTCCGATACGGTGTCGCGCGTTAATTTCAGATCGGCGTTAATTAATCAGTCATTCGGCGTGCCGCGATTATCGCGGCTGGACGGGGGAAATTATGCCGGCGACGGACGTGGGCGCGTTTGTTAGAAAAGCGGCCGCGGCCGTTCGTTTATATCGAGAACTTAATTTATCTCCGCCGGCGGATTTTCGCTCGTTTATAAAATGGCAATCTCGATATGTTACGCCGGACAATAATCGCATAATGGGCATTTTCACGCTCGCGAAATATTAACGATTCGCTGAAAATCGCATCCCGTCCGCGCGATCCGCCGCGATTATTAAGCACGCGTAACGCGATACGTTATCGCTCGAGCGGTGGTACGCGTGTATCGAATGCGCATACCGAACGACAGGGCTTTTTATGATGCATAAACATCGATTATCGGGGTATCAAGCAATTTTTGTTCGCGATACTGCGCGCTCGGGTATCCGAGATGGAAATGAAACGTATCAGATAACGCTGACATTATTGGATAATTATGTAGACATCGGTTTATAGAACGCGCGCGCCGGAATGTCAATTATAATTATTCACGCGTAATTACGACACCGGCCGAGAGTCGCGGGACTCGACCCCCTCCCCCCCCCCCCTGAAACGAGCCCGAGCAAGGGGGTAACCACTAGCCAGGGTTGGGAAAGTTGCTTTATAAAAGTATCTAGTTACAGTTACAAGTTACCAATTCGGAAAAGTAAGCGTTACAATTACTCAAAAAGTAACGAAACGTTACTTCGCAGTTACTTTCTTGCAATGAAAATAAAAATATCAAATCTGCGCTTGAATTAAGTGTCGATAAAAGCGTTTATGTGCAAATGCAAGACCTAATGCGATCTGTGGAGGTTTAAAAAATATGTAAAGTAACTATTAATGTAACCGAAACGTATATACATTTGCTATTATAATAAAGTAATTTTATCGAACATTACAACTGAGCCCCTTCTATTATTCTTTCACTAAAAGAAGTAATTTTTTTGAGAAAATGTTCAAATTTAATGTTCATTGTCTAACGAGTGAGGAAACTTGAAAATTAAAGGCAAAACGATTACATGGAGATTTCGTAAGGATTTCATAGCGATTTCGGAGACACTGTCCCACGATTATATTAGTGGTTACCCCCTTGAACCCGAGCGTCATTCGAGTTTTCATGGCGCGTTGGATCCGCTGATTCCATAAACTACCAGGCTGTTACCCCCGAGCTGAAAGTGGGGCAAGAGTTCCGCCAGGACCCGCGGCAGATCCCTTACCTCGTTATTGCTGATCCTCGTCACCTTGACGTTATCCGTGAAGGTCGGCTCCGTCCACGTGATCGCCGTTCCGTTCCTCCCGACGACCTCGATGTCCCTGGGACAGTCTCTGACTTTCGGTGCCTCGCCGCCTAAAGGGTGCGGGATTAGCAAAGAACTGACGTAACGGCAAGTTTTTCCGCTCGCCCGCTTTATCCGGCTCGCGCTAAGCGAGGAAATTGCGGGGCCGTGAGAAAACTCACCCCGCGGGCGAATCGAATCGACGGCGGTGTCAGAAAGTTCGATTTCCGCATCGTCGTCGGATGATGAATCGGCGCGGGCCCGGCGCGGTCGCGGGCGCGGCAAGTACGGCGAAGTGGAACAAGTCCGAAGGAGCCGAGGTTCATTTATCGCTCGTCGCGCGTAACGTGACGTCGGAGTCATAAAACGGGGGTTGGGGGGAGGACGAGCTTAATTCAAGTTTTCCTGCTGCCGCGCGCGTGTCCCCTCTCTCTGTCTCTCTCACCCCCCCCCCCCCGGCGAAATATATATTTTTCATCCGGACGAGCGGAAACAAATGGCGACGAAGGGGGCGGGGAGAGGGAAAAAATTATTCTTTCGCAAGAGAAAGGGAGTATAATTTGATATTTTCTCTTTTGCGTCGTACACCCGTCGGTCTAGAAAAAGCTTATTCACGCGCCAAGTCCCCCGCTCGTTACGCTCGCGAGAAAGGAACGGCGAGTCGAGTTGCGCGCGTCGCGGACCCCGTCCGCGGAATCAGGCCAGCGCACTCCCCGAGAAAACTCGTTGGCTCGAGTGTCAGTGATGAAGCCCCGGGAGTTTGCATTAAATTAGTTTCGTCAACTTACTTTTAGGCACGCAAACGGGAGCGCCGCGCTCTTGCAAGATCACCGAATCCTCGGACCCGCCGCCCGGCGTTCAATGGGACCAGACCGCGCGCCAGCGTTCGCTAAATCGCCCGAAGGGACGCGCCCTCGAGGGGGTCGCGGATTGTCTCCGTCATATCTAACCCCCCGGCGGATTTACGGTTCTCCTAAAAATCCTTAAAATATTCCTGACGCGCGTGTTACGCGAGGACTGCATTTTCCCTTCCACGCGACGCGTCTCATCTCGATGCGAAATCGAATTGGAATAACGGCGACGATGCCTCGAGATAGCGAGACTCTCTCTCTCTCTCTCCCTTTTTTTCTTCATTTTTACGCGAGCGCGGTAATAATTTACCAGTTCCTGCCGCGGGAAGTAAGTTTGCTCGGAATCATATAAGGATTTAACTCGCGGTGCAGCGAGCTGCAGCGCGTATTTCGCTCACGTCCCGGCAAGATGCGTCGGGATAGACGGGGGTTGGCGCACGGCACGAGGGACGTAATATTCTTAAGACGCATCTGAAGGCTCTCGACGCCCGGCATTAACGGGCGACGTGGAGAACTTTTGACACGGCCATGTTCGTTTACAGGGCGACGTAACAATTTGCCAACTCGCCTGCTATACTTGCGCACTTTTCCGAGCTTGTATTGCAACGAGCAAACGTCTCTCTGTGTCTCTCTCTCTTTCTCTCTCTTCGAATTCCCCGAATTATCATCGCGCGCGCCAAGAAACGGAAACAAGGGAGGGAATATTTCAATCTCGCGCTGTTAATCATTGAGAAACTGCGAAGTTTCACGACGGCTAAATGATGTACGGCCCTCCATTCTGCGCGCGGTAGTTTATTTAACATGTGTTCCTCCGATGGAATTAACCGATCTACCGTGTTACCCTCCCGCCGCCATCCGTTATTAATCAAGATTCGCGGGGTTCAAGAGACGTTTATCCGCCATCTTCCGCAAAGTGCAACCTCCATAATCCGGATTAATTAATGCGGGGGGCGTATCGTGGATTACCCGGGGAGGGACTGACCCTTGAAGCGAGCGACCGCGTTTTCGGGACGGCTAATATTTGGCGCACGATTTAAACCGTCGTTTAACATCGGTAAATCCGTTCGCGGTGATTTCCGCAGCGCCGATTTTTGTTATCAAACCGAAAGTTATTAACGAAACGCGCAAAACGAGTTTGAAAAGCCAGAAAAAAAAGCTGTACCTCCCGGAAACGGGGATGCCGGGCGATAATTAACTTCGAAAACGTATACGCGTTGGCGGAGCAGGGGAAGGTCGCGATTGAGCAATTACAAATTAATAATTGCTATTTCTGCTTACTACAGAGGGGACCGTGATTATCACGAGCGCCCGAACGAGAATCATCGTTAGCGGGGCTTATAGCCCGTAATACGTCGTTAACACGCATCCGCGCAAATTAATTACCTTTGACGATAATGCGTAATACACAGCTGGCCTGCTTCTTCGATACCGGGTGTCGCGCGAAAAATGTAACCTCGTGCACGCCGGGCTCCAGGCTGGCCTCAAGCCGCGTGCCCCAGGAAGGCTTCGATCGCACGTATCGGAACCAATCGAGATCCGTCGCCGGTTGATCGAAGGTCACGAACGCCTCGTCCCTGCCGGGCGGTAACTCGGCTACGACGTCCTTCGGACACTCCAATCGGGGCTTGCTATATCCTGCCGAGCGGGAAAAAGAACGATATCCCTCCGCCGATATATGTCGCGGCAATTTCTCAGGCGACACCGCGAGAACGCGAGAAATGCTTCGCTTCCTTTTTTAATGAAAAAAAACACGGAAAGATATGACGAACGGACATACCTTCCCGTATCTACTCGAAATTCTATACGAGAGACATAATTAGAACATTATCATTAAGTCGTTTAGCTGAGTGTCTTAAAGTTCCGCCCGTCTTGCGAGGAGAGGCAGAATTCTTCAGGTCGCAATTTGAAAAATAGCCTCAACTTCGGCCCCAAGAGAAACTTGGGAAGTTTAATGAAACTTAAATATTTTTAAAAGACCCGTCGTTTCGTTGGAAATCCAATTATCCATTAATATTAAAATATCTCGAACCATAAACGAGATCGGGAGAAAACGCGGAGAGAGAAACTAGCGGAAACCGTTACCTCCGCGCGCCGATAAATCGTACGATACGTCCTGGTTTTTTTTAATATTTTTTTTTATCAGGAAACTTCTATACTCACTGACGCACTTTCCGTGCTGCGCTCCGTCCCAGGTGCCGTCGGATCGACAGGTCAACTCGTACTCACCGCGAAGCTGATACCCACGGGGGCACTTCAGGAAGCACCTCGTGCTGGGTCGATTGGGCACTTTTCGTCTGTCGCGCCACAACTTGGACGTGGCTGATCGGGAGCATATTAAATAGCCGCGATCGACCGGATTTAACGGTAGGCACGCGATACTATTTATGTCTGGAAGATGAAGACCACAGTCCGGGATTACAATCCGTGCGTCGTGAAGCTCATCGAAAGGGACGAGAGGAATCATCGAAAGAGAAGCGGCTAACGCTCGGTTACGTCTCAAACCAGTTCGGAGAACTTGTTTCACGAGACATCAAAGAGTTTAAGATATTTTTTTTAAACTCATATAGCCAACTGATAGACTGGCAATAAGAAGAGGAAAGTCCTCTATTATGAGACAGCAGGTTTTCAACGCCCAACCACAAATCTTTTTCCGCAACGACACGATCTAACATCAATTTTCCGCTAAACAGATTTCACTCCAAGGGCTATAAATTCATGGTGGAGCCAGCAGACGGTGCCCATTAATTTAGCGCCAGAAACTCCGCTGTCTCATAATAGGGGGCTTTCCTGTGTATTAAATTTCGATCGAGTTGTTCGCATCCAATTTACCGATCTCTGATGAAACGGTATTTGCGGCAGTTTCCGATGCGCAAACGAGTACGCTCCACTCCTCTCTCGACTACTAAACTCCCAACAGCCGAAGTACCAACTTCCTTTTCCTTTGACGCGACACCGGCTTATCCCTCGCGACCGCCGCGGAAATAAATAAACGATCTGCCGGCCATTCATTCGCGGGCAAACGTATCGATTGTGCACGCGAGCGCCAAGTGCAAGCCTGCCTCGAGCTAACAGCGTGCGTCAACGCGAGCCCCAGCATTCACGTACGGCTCATAAAGCTCCGCGGGCTCCGAGCCCGTAATCTATGTACGCGCACTCAAAGCGGAACCCACCGCATCCATTGGTATTACGTCAGCCACGTCAACCGCCGCGACGCTTCCACGTATCAAACACGATATGTATGTATGTACATAAGACAGGAATTACAGATGCCAATGGCGGCGAGAGGAAGGACCTATCGCGGCTGACGCGTCCTGGTGCGAGTCGCTCCTGCGTGACAGCTTTGCATAATGCTACCCCTCGGCGGATACGCGCTGCGACTAACCGGGGGGTGCCGATGCACACTCCCAGCTCGCCCCCTCCGCCCCCCCCCCACCCGTTATCGCACGACTTCAAAATTTACAAAGTTACACATAATTGAAAACGTTAAAAAGTTACGACAAAAGGATGGAGAACTTTTTCCCCGTGGGGAGGTCACGTTCGACTCGCTCGACTCGCTCGACTACAATAAGGGTGCGCCGGCACACCCTTGAACATCGCGTTCGCTTATCGCGCTCATCCGTCGCGCGCGCCCATCGCGTTCGATCATCGTGCCATACCCGGGGCGGCGGCGGCACGTCACGCGCAAAATGAACGAGGCCGCGGAAAGTGATTTGTCAAGGAGCACGTACCTACGCAGGATTTCCCGTCGGATGACAGGGCCTTTTCGTCCCCGTCGCAGGCGCAGAAGAAGCTCCCGTCCGTGTTCTCGCACACCTCGCTGCACCCGCCGTTATCAACCGCGCACTCGTTGATGTCTAAACACAGAAGCCCAAGTGTAATTTGTGTTCCTTCCCGCATCAGACGCGTTTAAAGAGTTGCCGAGCTATCGAGATTGACACTTCATGCCGAAGTACGAGGGTGGGTTGAAAAGTTTTGAGCCGCAACATGAAGATGGAATTACTTGCCGTCGTCACTTCGGTACTCAGACTGTACATGCTTTGAAGGATACTTCTATAGACATAGTAAATACAGACTGAGGCCGGTGTTCATAGTCGATTCTTATTTGTTGTCTTAAGAAGCAACGGCTCTGTGATTGGTTAAAAACACATCAAAAGTACACTTAAGATGATCTTAAATATAAGAACGGACTATGAATACCAGCCTGAGTGTCCCATTGAATAAGCTGAAGCTTGTGAAGAGAGAGAGAGAGAGAGAGGGGGGGGGGGATTTAAGAAGACTTTCTTTCTCTGTCTTCTCTTCTTGAGAAGAGAGAAGACTCGAAAGTCTTCTTAAATCTTCTCTGTCTCTCTCTTCACAAGCTTCAGCTTATTCAATGGGACGCTCAGTCTGTATTTACTATGTCTATGGATACTTTTGAAAACTTCAGCCATTTTTGACTCTCAGTTGTTGTACGACAGTCGCTTGTGTCAGTGGATGTTAGTATTTTCGTAGACATGGAAAAATCGAATATCGGGTCAAAATTCACGAATTGCAGTTCAAACTGATCGACCACCCCTCGTATTCACCAGATCTAGCCCCAGTGGCTTTTTCTGTTTCCTAAATTCCAAGTTTGGCTCGGAGGACAGAAATTTTCATCGTACGAGGAGGTCATAGCATTCCGTAGATGCCTATTTTGCGACCAACTATTATTCGAACGGGTTAAAGCGGTCGGAGCATCGCTGGATTAAGCGTGTCGACTTAAAAGGAGATTATGTAAAAATAAAAGCGAGTTTGACTGCAAAAAAAGGTTTCCATGTTAGGCTCAAAACTTTTCAACCCACCCTCGTACGTCAGAAATATAAAATTTTATTAATCGCCTCTTCTCAGGGCTTTGCTCTCTTCGTGACCCCGGGGTATTCTCATGTATCATAATTGTATTAACAAAGTGTAGTTAATAATGCATTAAATTACACTCCATAATGGAATAGAAAATTACGTATTCCATACGTTCTCCTCTTGCAAATAATTTGATTGTCACCGACTGCGATCCTATTGTAATTTTATCGACTACTCTTCACCATGTTTCGACCGATTGACGTAATTTTCTACCGCGGCTCCATTTTCTACCCCCACGTTCTCTCGACTGTACGCCGGGCTGACTTTGATTCCTTCAACGTCATTTTCTAATCGTCGCGTTACGGGATTGATCATATCATAGACCGGAAATTTAGTATCAAATTATAACCTTCCAATTCTAGCCCAGCGAGAAATGACTGATGACTTGACATCGACGCCGTCGTACTGACGTCGATTCGACATCAATTTGAGGATGTCGATATCGATTCGACATCGTTTCGGCATCGATCGGCGAGTCATTTTTCACTGGGAAATTACGTGGCAGTTTCGCCAACCGAACTCGAGGCACCCGTTTACGGCTCAACGTGAGAAACAGCTGCAAGTCACTTTTGCGATATCGCTGAAGGACGGCTCAAAGCGGGGCCGAAATGCCATTGTGCATTGTTAATCAACATTAAATATCGTTACTCCAAAAACCCACGCACTAATAACCGCGTTGTACTCTCAATGGCCATTATTAAATCCATTTTGTTAATTTCATTATCGAGAGAATCCTTTGTTATTTTTTTCCCTTTCTATAATTATACATTATATGTAATTAATACGGACGGTGTATCTTTCGATAGCTACGTTAGAGCGGAATTATCAAGAAACGTACGTTTCACGAAGTATTCAGTATCGACCACTTTAATATCATACACCGTGCACATCCCTCTCGCTATCCCTCAGGCCTTAAGGGGATCCTAAAGACGCCGGCGAACTCGATCAGTGTCGATATAAGAGACGGAATTAAAAACATCAATTATCGACATCTTTAATTCCAAGTTCTACTTTAGACCGGTATTCATAGCCCGTTCTTATATTTAAGATCATCTTAAGCGTACTCTTAATGTATTTCACAGAGCCGTATTAGCCGACTAAGAATACCGGCCTTAGATGTTTCCTCAGACCGGTATCAAGCAAAGTGAATAAAAAGTTAGTAAAATTTTTAATTTCCTTTTGTTTTTTTTATATAAAGTCGACCAGCATAGACTAGACTTTGCCGCGTACTTTAATTCCGCAAAAGAGTTTTGCATTTCTACGAAGCCAATTAAAAGATTACTTCTAACAAAGAACGTCGATAAAACAGACGGCTTTAGGATCCCCTTAATCGCCTCTCATTTCGAAGTCGTTCGCGTCACGCTGCCGCGATAGGCGTCTTGCAATTGATTACGAGGGCTATAAACGATCTCGCAGACGCGAGTTATCTTTAATCTCCGAGATCGGCTCGGCGCGGTCCGCGCCTTCGAGCGTCACGACGCGACGCGACACGTCAAACGAATCCGTCCCTCAACGGGGAACAGACCGGCGCGACGAGGCGAACGTTCGCCGCGTCGAAGAGAACGTTGCACAAGGCTTCTTTCATTCGCGCTGTAATGACTCCTTCACCGGCGATCTCGCGTTCTTTGGCCCCCGATCTGTCTTTCAATCGTCGGCGAGATTACGTTAAATTGAGCGAAGTGGCCGAGTCGGCTATTGCCCGGGAGCACTCTCAATGATAGCCGAGAGCACTCGACTTTCGCCGGCTTTCACGGCTTATAAATCCGCGCGGAGGCGCATACAGGGTGTCCCGTAATCCCGGCTTAACAACAAACTCGGGAGATCGGCCCCTCTCCCTCCGCGTTTCTGATTAATTAAAAGCGGGACCGAAACTTTTCGAGGGGGCGGAGGGGGGGGGCGTCGCGGGCACGAACGCGGGTTCGGCGGCGCGAAATGCTAAAATTGCGCGGCACTCGCCGCTAAGTGAAGGTCCATCATCGTTTATCACCGTGCAACCCTCGTCCTTCGCTCCTCCGTTTTAATCCCACATCTCTCGCGCCGCGATAAATCTCCCCGGCATACGGCATTCCGGCAGTATGCGAAACGCGAGCGGGGGCTTGCGAGAACCGCGGACGCGGTTCATTTATTTATTCCAGCGCCTCGCGCGCATCGAGGCGCAGCGTCCGCGAACGGGGACGGAACGCCGAGCAGGAATCCCTCTCGCCGGCGCGGCGCTCCAGTTTTCCTCGAGAAATCCACCCCGCGCGCGTTCTTTCAGCCGACACCCCCTTTCTTTTCAAGTCGCGCGCGCGCCGGAGATTGTAAGATTATCGCGATAGTCCACTTTTCGCCGGTACAAAAACCGGCGCCGCGGCGGCCTCCCTCCGCCTTTGCGGGAGCGAAATTAGAATTTTCTCTTTGACGCCGCAACACCGGAGGGGATTCTCATAAACGCGACATTTCGCGGGATCGGACGCGTATTTACGGTTCTTTTATCTCCCTCGCGGGACCACCACGCGGGGGAGGAGAGGAGCGCGAAACGCGCGTCTCTTCCGGTTTTAAAAGGGCGGGGCGATTCAATGCCCTCACCGATCGTTAAGACGATCCCTTACGCCGTACGGATGCGTGGATCCCCCTCCCCCCCCCCCACCGTAGCCGCGCATTCCCGCCTCGGGGGGCGACTCGTAACGTCGATCATTTATAAAAATGCCGTTCACGTAAAACTTCCCTCCCCAAAGCTATTTAACGACCGAGGTTGCCGTGGAAAAAGGAGGCGGAAATGGATTGAATTTCCGCGGAATAAGATTCGCGAACGCCTGTTACGTTGTATCAAACGAGCCGTAATGTTCCTCTCGGTATTCACCACCGCATCAATTGTAATTGAAGGATTTACGCCCCGCAAAATTGGATTGCCGGTTACGGCATCTGTCTCTGTGTGTCTGTGTGTGTGTGTGTGTGTATCGTGAACTGCATCGGAAGAGAAACGACTGCGGTGGAGATGCGTCTTTTGAACTATTGTCGCGCCCGGGAGAAAGAAAATGCCGGGCTGGACGTCCCGCAAGTGTCCAGGGTATCGATACGTCTCCTCGTTCAAACGTCGGTCACCCGGACGCGCGCCGCGAGTGTCCGCGATGACAACAGTCCCGTATACGAAAGCACCTCGCATTATCGCGACAAATACGCGCGTACGGGTATGAGGAGCCCCGCAGAAAAGCGTATTTCGTATAAAATGCCGATAAAAGCGCCGCGTTTTTCCGATCGCGCTTGTGCGCGCCGGCAAAACGGATTGCAGCAGGGACTGCATTTTGTGCGAGCCATTCCGAGATATTCGAAGGTATTGGGGGAGAAACTCGCGGGACTCCTAAGAAGGTTACTCTCCCGAGGAATGCACGATTGGCGGAAAAGAAAAGGCTCTCTCTCTCTCTCTCGCTCGCTCGCTCGCTCTCTTTCTCTCTTCATCCGAAAGCAACCGATGGTGATATAGGTATCGTCCTTGCGGGGCCGTGGGGTTACGATTCGACAGTACTTCGTTCGCCGTCTCGCGGAAAAAGGAGAGAGAGGCAGCTCGGATTTCCTCGAGGAAATACTGAAGCTGCCGCGCACTTTCGTCGAGGATCGTACGGGAGAATTGTCCAAGAAGTTTGCGATCGAAGGAACTTAAACGGGCGCGAGCTTTGCGCGAAACGAAATATCGCCACCGGAATACAAAATATTATGGGGAACGGTGCCAATCGCCGGGCTCGAGATGGATTCGCGACTCCGCGAGTGAGAGCTTCAAGTAGCAACAAAAAATAATGGACGCGCGCAAGGAAGACGTAGCTCGTTAATTATGGCGAATCTGTACAAGAAATAAGTCCCAAACATTCACCGACACCCCGTATATGTGTGGCGGCTTATGAATTATTTTGAGAAGAAACGCGCGTAGGGAGCTGACGCTTTTGGGAGCAATGGCCTCTCTGACAAAGTTCTCGTGTACACGTCGCGGAAGATCACATCTCCATTCCTAACGGTAACACGATGCTCTCCTGACTTATTAACGAGAACTTATTAGCTTAACTCCTGACTTAAGCAGCCGTCCTAACACGCGCAAATTTGCAAAGTGGATTCATCCGCGCGCTATAATTCGAGCGCGTAGCTGCATCGCCTAACAATAAACTCGGAGATGCAGTCAGACGTGATGTGGGTCCCATTGAAATTATTGTCAAAATCTCGCTCTGACATTTCCGAGCGGTTAACAAAAGAGAGTGCGCGACGAACAGTTTTCGCGGAGTTATCGAAAATTTATCGCCGCTATTAATCATTTTTTAAAAGAGAATTAATAAGAATTATCTCGCCCAACGGGACGCCCTGATTGTCGAACGCGATTCATCGCGTTGGAACGGCAGTTAATCTGGACGGCGCATAAATTAACACGCGCCGGCATGCAAGATGAATGCCCCTCCCCCATTCTTCAGGACGAAAATCGAGCATTTTCCATTATCCGACTCACCGATGCACCCGTGGGAAGTCTGCTCGTAGCCCGGCAGGCAAGTGATGGACAGGCTGTCCAAGATCGGCTGATCCTTCAGCTCCATAGCTTCCGCGCATCGATAGGAACCCGGGGTGTTAATGCACCCGTAGCGACACAGCTCCGTCTGAAGATCCGGCACCGAGCATTCGTCCACGTCTACGGGAAATGATCGCCATTTGTCAAACGTCTCCGACGCGTCTCCTACGGGGGCGTCGTCGCGGCGTGCGGGATCCCCGCGTGCAAAATCTGAATTGAGTGCGTTTGGCGCGGGCTCGGATTCGTCGCGAAATTTCAATCGTACGTCGGCCGACACTACGACTACAGAAGATTAAGATCTCTACATAGAATGCTACATAGTAAACTTGGAAAAAGAACATTTATAAAATCAATCTTCTGTACATTTCAATACTGCCATCCTAACCCTGCCGGAAATAATTCTACAAAATTCTACGTAAATTTAAAAAGTGTTATAAAAATCAACATGGAAATGCTAGAATTGGAACACTTTTGTTCAATGTTGTAATATTCTACGAGTAAGCAGACGTTTTAATTCTTTAAGATTGTGTTGTTTCTCAAATTTGTAAAACTAGTAAAGTTGAGAACATTGTAATTTGTGATACCATTTTGTAGATATTAAAAAAAATGAATGTTTCAACGAAGATATAAAAATTTCTATAAATTTCCATTTCAAGTCAATTTTTTGTACTTATTTATAGAATTTTTTCCACTGGGGAACCTAAAAAGCAGTATCTTCATTTTTTGGCCATTGTAGTCAACTCACTTTCTATGTTTCTTAGAGAACAATGGCCAAAAAATGGAGATACTGCTTTTTAGATTAGGACGGCAGAATAAGAGTCGGGGAAAATTTCAGAAATTGAAATGTTTTGAAAACGAGTAATAACGTACGAAAGAAGTGAAACAGGTCCTTTTGACTAACAGCTCTAGTATCAATGTCTAGGAGTTGTAAACGAAAATAGGGAAGCGCTATCGAATTGTGTACAGACGAGGTCGCCCGATCGATCGCCGACCTCGTCCAATTGTTCACCTTGACACGTCTTCCAGTCGTCCTCGAGCATGAAGCCGTCGGGGCACAGGCAAAACACCCGGCCCATCGTGGACAGACACGTGTGGGAGCACCCGGCGTTGTTAACGCTGCACGGACCCGTGTGCCTGTCACGCTCGCACGTGTGATTGTCGGCAGCCAGAGACGCGTCTCGCAAACCCTCGCACGAGCACTCGTATCCTCCTACGAGATTTCGACAGGTGTCCTGGCAGGGACCGTGACCGTTGTTCAGTAAACACTCGTTGATGTCTACGCAACAAACGTCGCGCGCTTAATCCGCCGCTAACTGTGCGATTTACTTTGGCGCACAGGCGTAATTAATCAACTCCATAAAACACTTTGATGATGTTTGAACAGGGCAATTACCGCTCCAGGATCGCTTTAATTGAGATAAACAGGTGGCGTTTACACGAAGAAAATGAGGTATCAAGATAGAAAATGGAAATTAAAATCAGACCGAAAGTAAAAATGTATAAGTGTCTAATATTTAAATATTCCAATGTTGTGAAGGCTAATATTTAAAGTCAAATTATGTAAACTGACGTAAAAAGGGGGAATTGGCGCTCGGCGCGGACAAAGTTTGTGCATAAAAATCTCCGGGAATTGCGTCCATTAATGATAATTACTGGCATGGCGAAATCGTGCTCACCGACGCATTTGCGGCCATCCAATCTGAATCCCTCGTAGCAGGAACAGACGGGACGCCCGTTAATTTCGTTGCAAACGTGCTCGCAGGATGCCTCGGCGCATACCCCGTTCGGGTTTTGCTTGATCTCGCACTTTGGCACCTGTCCGACCCACTGACGATTCCTGCAGACTAATCGGCTAGCCGAGGATACCATACGGTAGCCTGGCACACACTCGTAATCGGCTTCCAAATACCCGTGGCCCGGGCTCGAGGACCTATTATAATTGTGTCGTGCACGCGGCGAGTTATTTTTACGATAAAATTCTATTTTCTCAGGGAGGATCCCAAGCGTTAAATGGAAATCGAGATACATTTTAATTCTAATGCACGTCACCGGGGGGGGGGGGGAGGGGGGGAGCGCGTTTCGCCCTCGTTTTCAGATTTGGAATAAGTTTACCTTCGTCTATGAATTCTCGTTCGTCATCAACGTTACGTGTTTGTTAATTAGATAAGATACACGTTTGCTTCAGTTAACGTTCGCTTTAAATGCGATTTTAATCAAATAGAACTCGATTTGAGAATTATCTCGAAGAATTTGATTATTCAAAGTAATGTCAGTCCTTTCGGGAGATATCCCGTACGTGTTTACGTAAGCTACTTAGATCGTTAATTTCAAGACCGGGCATTTGCACTCTGCATATGCGATTATCGTACCGTCACTTTGATATTTTGAAACGTGTCGAATTCCAAGTTTTTATCCAATCATTTTTATTGCTTGTTAATTTGCGAAAAATTAATTTTGCTTCAGCGTCATTTTAATGCAAAAAAAGATTCGATTTGGCAAAATTGATTATTAAAATTAACGCCGTGCTTCCCAGGAGATACCTGGCGCACAATTCAGCTGGCGAACGTAAATCCAATTGACTCCGTTGAATCTTGGCTCCGTGATTACACCGAGCACTGAATTACAGTGATAAAGAACAGAAGAGCGCCTATATTTTACACACATTTGACCGTGCATTTTAAGTTAAACGTTTTCACGGGACAAGATCTTGTTCGATCTCATTGCTCCCAATGAAGAAATTATACGAGGCTAAACCGAGGCGAAAATATTCGACTCGGGTCGCGACGATTACAATGCCCTGTGCTAATTAACAAAGTATACTTATTGCGATCTATAGATAATTCGATCGAGGGGAAATTGATTCGAAAATGACATCGGAGGATCTGATTAAAATTAACGTCGGTCGCCCCGGGAGACACCTCGCGCATGGCTTACGGCAGCGCTCGTGTAAATCGTTGACACCGGGATTAGTACCGAGCATTGAATTATGGATGATAGAAGGTAGGAGAGCACTTACTTTACATATTTGATCAGCGCGTGGCGAGATAGAGGCGCCGGCAGGAACGTCCCGTTTATGCAGGATAAGTCCCCTTTCGTGCCGCCGTCGTCCTGCGTCGTTCCCGTCACGCCCGTGACTTCCGCGTTTCCGTCGCCGGTCTCCTCGGCGCTCTCCTCGGAATTAATTATCGGCTTCCTCGGCGGATGAGAGCCGGAAGCGCGACGGATCGGCGGCTCGCCGTGGCGCGGCAACGACAACGGCTTCAGCCGCGACGTCATGTACGCGTTGTAGTCCTTCAGGGTCCTCTCCAGCACCTCGTTCTCCAGATCCAGGATCGGCAGGTCCTCCTCGGTCCTCGAGTAGCCCAGCATCCTCTCGGCGTCGTAACGCGAGCCCCTGAAATCGATTTTACCCTCCGACGACGAGACGGCGGCGTCCGCGCTTGTCCCTTCTTCGCCCGACTCCGCGCCCCGTCCGACCGATTTCCTCGGAGGGGTATCGAAAATGCCGTCGTCCAAAATCAAGGGGTCCTTCAAGGCGGACTTGGAGATCTCCATTTCGAGCTGCTTGGAGAACTCCCTCTCCACCGTGTCGGCGTAAACGCCACGGCGCGGCGTCGTCCTTATCAGCCTCCGCGTCGTCCCGAGCGTCGGGCGACGCTCGAGACCCGACGACGTCGTCGTGTCGGTGGCCTCCGTCAACGAGGCGCGCTCGGGGGCGACGTTCGACGAGCCCTCGATCGTCGGCTCGGACGTGTTGCTGCCGGCGGGCTCGAGTCTCTCGCGGGTACGCCCGCCCAGGCCGTCGTGCGCCTTCCTCTTGCGCTTCGACGACCGTCGCGCGGCATCCTGCCGCCTGCTGTTCCGCCGCGTGTCCCTCCCGCTACCCCTGTTTCGCTCCTGCCTGTCCTTCTTTTTCCGCTTTCGCCGTTCCGCGCGGGACTTCCGCGCCTCCCGGCTCCTCGGCCGCGACTTGGAGAGAGGGTCGTTCCTCTTCCGCGGCGATCGATCCCGCTTGTCCGCTATCTCGTTCTCGCGACTGTCCTCGGCGATCGTCTCGTGCACGCGACCCTTGACACCGGGGTCCGCCGGCCCCTCCTTGCCCCTACGTCGCTTTTTGCGCGTCCGGCTGCCGAAGTTGCCCTCTTGCTGCTTGCTCAAGGTCGCTGTCGGGCAGATAGCGAGGGTAGCTCTTCAGCAACGTATCGATTTAATGTTAATTCTGTTCAAATTTTTATCCTATTCGTTGCTGCAAAAGTGAGATACAGTGAAAAAGGGCTAGCGCTGAGAATCGAAAGCAAAAGGTGAGGCGCCAACAGGAAGTTGTTACAAAGCCGTGCTAGAATTAGGTAAAAAATAAAAATTGGAGCGCCAACGGGAAGTTGTTACAAAGCCCTGCTAGAATTAGGTATAAAATAAAATTGGGGCAAGTAAAAGGAAACGCTAACGCGTGGAAATAACGCAAAGAAAAACAGGACGTAACGTAGGAGTATTACTCGAAAGAGAAAGCGGTCGACGCAAGTTAGACGCTGAGGAACGAGAAGAGGCGAGAGAGGATGGTCTGATGGAGGATGGCGATTTATTGTAAAATTTGGCGGCACAGTACGAGAAAGAGGCGCGAAACTTAGCGGTGCGATAGGAGGGGGATGGACAGCAGATCGGGATAACAAGAGGAGTGTTTGAGGTGTGACATTAAGAATTCAGACGTAGCAGAAGGAGTCGATCGGAGCTCTGGGGTATCGCGCCCGATTTAATAATCGGCAAAATGGCTGCCGGCCGAGTTGGACGAGACACGCGGGGATAAGACGCGTATCTGCGTCGACGTGAAAAATTTGGGGAACAACGCGATTCGCCCAGAAAACGGATATCGCGTCCTCCCCCTCTGCCGCGGACTGATTTACCCCGGTGTACACGTTTCCCGTTAACGTTGGAGAGAAAGAGAGACGATTTTACTCACTGACATTTACGTTTCGCCGAGGCGGAATTTTCGCACCATTTTCTGACAAAAGGAGGTGTTTGTCCCCGCGTTCATCGCCGCGGGCCTCCGCTTTCGCTTCCGCTTCCGTCTCCTCCGGCTTCTTGATAATGCCTCGCGACGAGAGCGTCCTTCTGTTTTCCTCGAGAGCCTCCATTCCCTCAAAAGATGCGTCCCGGCTGGCAGATAACAACAGTTACCTAACCATCTTTGCTCTCGCAAAAAACAAGGGACCTAAGAGACGCCGCTTAGTCTACTAAATAAATTATCGGTGGAACAAAGAGGACCATGTCGCGCAATTTCAACGTTTCAAGACTCTAAAAGACCACTTTAGTCGGAATTTATTCTAAGAGAGGCCGAGGTATTTTTACGTTTACGTAGATTCGTGTGGCTTACTTGCTTGAAAAAAAAAAGGGAGGAAAATAATAAGACGTCGAATATATGTACAATATATGACACGGAAAGAAAAATGTAGCTGCCGTAGCCCAAAAGCTGCATGTGGCAACTGAATTTCAGTTGTAAAATGTGGACAGCTAATATTTAGTTGTGATAGCTAGATATTTTGCTACTGCGCCTATTAGATGGGACAGCAAACCGTTTGCTGTGCGATATACTTATAATAAGCGATTATACTTCAACAAATGACAGACCTGAGATTTCGCGCGCTCAGGCACGGCGACAGAACAAGTGACAAAAGTGTTCTGTACCTGAGCGCGCGAAATCGCAGGCCTATCATTTGTTGAAATATAATCGCTTGTCATTTAAAAGCTATTATCGACATTTTTGTATTAGACTTTTCGTCTTGAAATTGTCTAAAGAATCTGCGATTAAAAGGATATCCGATGGTTTTAGTACACCCTGAACAGCGTGGACATAAATACAAGCTGCACATATTTAAAAGGAATTCCATCGGCGATTGTAAATCTTCCCCTACGTTAACGTTACGTAATTAATTCGTCGAGAGTTGGCGGGGGTTTCGAGACGGCGCTTCTTTGACGCTACCGTTTCGATAAACCTTTGCGATTCTGAGCTATAATTACAGCGTAATTCTATTGAGGGATTCTCTTGTGATATCCGAGCGGATGTGCAGTTTTATACGAGCGAAAGAGCCGCGCGTCATCGTGAATCGAGAGTCGAGAGCGCCGCTGGATCCTCCTCGCGAAGAGTCTCGTTTCTCGCGTCTCTTCTGCATCGCGTTCCGTCCGGAAGGAAGGTTCGACGAAAAGCGGTAGCTCTCACGGCCCCGGGGAGATCTCGTCGATACTTTACCTATACTGACGATGGGTTTCCAAAGTGTGCGAACCGTCGCCGGCACGATCCGATCCCATCCTGTCCCCGGACGTGCCGCGTGCCCCGGCATTTTGGCAGAATCCTGCGAACGCGAGCGAACTCGATCTTAGGGGCTCGATTGGCCGTGGCGGGAAAATAAGACGACGAGACAGACAGGGGAGGGTGCGTCGGGTGCGGGGGGAGGCCGTCTCTTCCCGCGACTGCATCTCCGCGGGCGATGCAGCCAGCGAGGCGAAAATGCGGAAGTTCCATTGTGAAGTTTGCCGGAGCCTCGCGCACACTTGTGCCGCGAGTTCGGTCGAAACTTGGACTGTTACCGCAATGAAACTACGCCACGCGGAGCCACGGAAGTCATCGGTCCCCCGCCCGTCATTTCGCTCCGTCGAGCGAACCGCCCGTCGTCGATATGGAAATTCTTTAATGCGCGGTGATGGCGATAAAATCGAGTTGATGGAAAACGGGCGAGGGAGGAGGAAGAAGGACGGGCGGGCGCGGTCTCTTAAAGGACGAGGGAGAAATATCTTAATTTCTCGGAGGATGTTCTCTTTAGACGCCTCCAAGACGCCCTACGGATTCTTTTTTCTTTTTATTTTCTTTTTTTTTGGAGAATGCAACCGGCGCCGCTGAATGTAAAGGACCCTTTGCGAATCTCTTTCGAAGGTAGCGCACGGAAGCAATTTTAAGCGATAACATTTTTTCGCCCACTCACTTTAGCGAGTTCTCTCTCAATGCACGATCGCGATTTCTCGCTCGCGAGCTATAATGTGGATTTCGGCGCGCTAACGAAGGGATGCCTATGGGATGCCCGGAAAACTTGCACGGTAGATTATACTCGAAACTTTTACGAGGCTCTCGATTCGAGAAGAGGCGGAACCGGCCGCATTTTCCGCCCGCCGTCGTCGAAGAAAGCTCGTCGAGCGAAGCATCCTTGACTCTAATCTAGGCGATATCAAGTGGCAATTGGTATAATCCAGCGATAATCGACTTTCTCCGTTGTTACCGCTGTATCTGAAATCGTTGCGAACGAATGCAGGTGCCCGCCCGAGAGGTACCACGGCAGAGATTATTCCACCGAGAGAGATTTCATTCGAGTATTTTGCGTCTGTACACGGTAAAAAGCATAATGTTAACATTTTCCGCATATCCCGAAAAGTCTGCTCTAAATTTTAAGTTAAAATAACATTCACCGCGTGCGTTACTTTTTGACAAATTGTACATGTTAATTAATTAACGCTGTACTCCGCATTTATGTTTATGTTCTTTTAAGTGCGATGTAATAAAAACAGGCAGGATGAGTAAACCGTACGAATAGTTACAAATTAGAATAGTTTAAGTGATTTTTAAGAAATCGATATTACATGTTTCGGTTGATTTTGTGAAATGGTCGTGTTAAGAGGATCCTAAAGTCTGTTTTACTAACGCATTCGAATGTAGTTTTTGCGCCGGTAAATCTTTTGTTAGCTTTTATGCACAAAATAATACCAGGATATTTAAGTTGCGGACCGCATAGCAAAACATTTTCATACTTAAAACACTCAGGTCAGAAGTCTAATGAAAAAGAAATTGCTATTTGAAATTTTCATTTTTTTTAATCGTGAACGATTTGAAATTTTTTGACTTTATAAAATTACAAAATTCTTCTTTTTCATTAAACCTCTGACCTGAGTGTTCATGTATGGAAATGTTCTGCTATGCGGTCCGCAACGTATCCTGGTATTATTTTGTGCATAAAAGCTAATAAAAAGAGATTTACCAGCGAAAAACTATATTCGAATGTGTCAGTAAAACAGACTTTAGGATCCTCTTAACACAACGTTTTCAAGCACCCATACTAACCGCTCCTTCGTGCAGGAGCCACCTTAAATATTATACATGTGCACGAAATTGAGATTTTATATTATTAGATTTATAATTCAACGTAGCGTAATTGAATTTGTACTATGGTAACGCGATGTATGAAATAAAAATTGAATTTATATAATTAACATAACATATTAATTTAATATATACGTATATTTCCGATTCAAACGTGTCTCGCGTTACACATAGTATTTGAAGTTGCAAGCAAAATCCCACCCTGAATCCTGACACAAATTATAAATAATTAAAAATCTACGAGATATCTAGGAATTGATTTAGCGAAATTGTAATAAATTTATACACTCCTCGATATTCGCAATCGTTACCTCCGGGAGCATCCAATCGCTCCAATTGCCTTTCGGCGTGCTATCGGAGAAATATGAAAGAACAGAATACATACGCGCGCGCACGCGCGACAAAGGGGAAGTGAAGAGAACTGTTCCAACTCTAGAAACAATTAAAGCGAGCAACTAAGCTTCGCCTTAGGCAGCAGAGAGTAATTCGTTCGTTTCTCCATCGTAATAAGCGGCCGACCAGGGTGGTGATTCTGTCGCGAAAGTTTAATTAAATTCAATCGGCGGTAAACGACGTCCGTATAATATATGTATATTTCATTGAGGGGAAAACCGCCCCTGCTCCCCCGATTTTTATCATTACGGCCAACCGAAACGCGAGTGCATAAAGAATCGCGCGGCTAATATACACTCGCGATTTACACGTGTTTACGCATCCGCACCACCGACTGCAAATACAGCGGTTTCGGCGGGGAGGGGGAGGGTCGGGCCTGGATTTGATGCTTTAACGGCCGCCTAAATCAGCAATCGGGACGCTTGTGTGTTTCACGTTTATTTTCACATTGCCCCGACAAGAATAACATAATGTATGACACATTATGCCGGCGCACGGGCGTGAATAAATGAGTACATTTCGGCGAGCGGCGCGCGCGCCGGCAATTTTTCATTCGCCCCGCTCGCGCGCGAGCATGCACACACGTACGGCGGCGGTCGTTCCCGGCGCGACATTCCGCGTCTGTAATATTCACGGGTCATCACCTTTAAAGTTACATACGGGTTTTCGCCGCGCCAACGGCGGCGCGGTCCAGGACCCGGCGATGCGAATCCGACGAGGCGGCGAGCCTGGCGCCGGGAGATACTCCTTCTCGTCCACACCGTCGTCGCGGGGGGAGGCGAATCTGAATTTCGGATCGCGCGGACGATCAATTTTTGAGCGATCTCCGCGAGACACGGGGGAAACGGAGACCGGGAACGGCCGGAATAATTTCCGAATCGAGACGCATAATCGCGGTGCGCTTTGAATAACTCGGTGTAACGCGCGAGAGGGAGAGACACAGAGACAGAGAGAGAGAGAGAGAGAGAGAGAGACCTTGGGAAACTGCCTGCTCTCGGAATTTCGATAAGCGGTTCGCCGGCGACACCTGGGGAAACCGCTTATCGTTCACCTGCGATAAGCTCGGCATCACGGGGGAATTTCGCCATCAGCTCGTATCGCGCTGATGCGCGATGCCGAGCCGTGGCCCCGTCGTTGATCCCTTGTCAATTTTCGCTCACGACACACGACGCTGGGGACGACGAGATTACCTCCGGTAATGTTGCATCGCCAATCGAACGAAATGAATTTCCGGAGCGCCGGGGCTCGGCCAATAGGACCTCCCTCTCTCTCTCTCTCTCTCTCTCTCTCTCTCTCTCTGTCTCTCTTCCCCCCTCGCTCGCTTTACCTCGTAAAAGGATAAATAATCCCTCTCCAAAGAATATTCCCGGCGATCGATGAAAAACGGCGCGGCGCGCTTCCTATAATTATTCCACATTATGCACTAAGCCCTCGCCCCTTCGGCGGAATAATTCATTGAGCGTTTGACGGCTGCCTACGGAGACGATTATGAGAAAAACCGATTACGAGGAGATTACGTTACGTCATAACTGTGAATCGCGGGTCTTGCACGAGAGAGAGAGAGAGAGAGAGAGAGAGAGAGTTATTCGTAGGAATGGTTATGAATTACACGAATCTCAAGTATATTTTCCGCCTCGTCCCCGCGAGATGATGTATCGCGTTTATGCGACTGCTATTATTTGGATAGTTGTTTTAAGTAATAAAGCGTAACGCTCTCGCGTCGCACAGAGACGCCATCGCCGAGAGCGACGCGAAAATACGCGGATACGTTTCAGCCGTGCTCCAAATGTTTAGACCTTTCTCAAATGCGTTTTCGAGTTTTATGCAAACGTCACGGCGATATTTATAAATGATATTACTCCATTTAAGCCGTAAGCGGAGCACGCTAAAACGAGTAAAAAGTGCAGTAGAAACAGTATACATGCGTTTCATCCCCCGTAAATCTTGCGCCATTTTGTTAATCCTGTTCTGCGCGGAGAATATGCAACGACGTAATTACGTGCGAATGTACCAACCGCGCGAACAACCGCATAAATCGTAAACGAGTTAAGTGGTGAAGTTAGATTGCCCGGTGCTCATTGTTTTTTCATTGTTTAAGTGGATCACATATACGTGGAGGCCCGGAGAAAGGGAAGGAGGGCACGAGGGAGGGAGAGAGAAAGAGAAATCCACTTAATGTTAATTCGTAAATCTGCTAATACGCGTCCAGCGGCAAAACTAATTACATCGCGCTATAGAAAGACGCTGAAGCAGGGAGAGAGCCGGGCTGGGCATTTCATTGTGATTGCACCGTCCACAATGCATCGTGAAAATTAACAGACCGCGGCCTCAAGTCACTCGCGGCTCGCAGAGGGGAAGCTGAGAACGCGAGTTTCCCCGTCGCGCGACGACGACATTTCTCCCGGCGAGATGTAACCGACTATTTTTCACTTTTAAGATACGGGCCATCGGGCGGAAGAGGTGCGGTATTAAGGAGGCATATTCCTCGCGCCCTAAGGAATGAAAATACGAAAGGATTTTACGTGAGATAGCCGCTCTATTACGCCGTTCCTCTCCATTCCGCCGCGGAGCGGACGGAAGAGGGACGTCGCGCGGGGAGGCGCGTTCCCCGCCCGCACGAAAGAATGAACGTACAAAAGGATTTAATGTAAAATAAGCCGCTCTATTACGTCGTTCTTCTCCATCCCGTCGCGGAGGTAGGAATCTTCGCGCGCGAGAGATCCCGAGGGTCCTCCGCCGAAAAGGAATTCGCCGTTCTTGGGATGTACGATTTATCACTGACTCGTACCACTGCTCCGCGCGACGCGACCCTTTTCGATTAACAGATAGCACCTAATTGCGCGATAATTCTCGCGTGTTTTCTACAAGACAATGTAATCTCGCCGACGAAATAAGACAATCCGGAAACGGAATCTCGGTCGGCCGATTCCGGACGGGAATTTGTATAACGCGGTTTTGAAAAACCACGAGACACGAACATTTGCATATTATTACGGTCCCCTAAACGTTCTTTATTCATAGCCCCGTCGCTTCTTAAAATACGATGCAAACGTCTTGTCTCGGTTTTTAAGCTTTATCTCGGACGCGCGCGCGCGCGGGACGTGGACGTATTTCTCTTTTTTTACTCTCTATTCTACAGGCGCGTCATATAAATTAAAATGCAGACACAGGCTGACGTGCTCAAGATTGAATCATCTTGCATTTTTCCAAGATTGATCACTGAATTGATTACCATTCGCAAAAAAATTAGTTGACATAGCCAGTAATTAATTCATTAATTCTGTGTATATATGTATATGTATATGTATATATTATATATATACCGGCTAGTCTTAAAAAAAAACTGTTCACTGAATGGCGTAATTAACGTATGTTATTATAATTACATATTGATGTGTGTTCTTAATTAACGTAATTTATAATAATTTAAGTAATTTACACAATAACAGCTAATTATTACTAAAAGAGGCAGAATTAATAATTTAATTCGATAATATAGCTAAAAATATTTATGATTGTAAATTATTTATATATGTACGTATATAATTGAAAGTTATTCGATTTAATTGTTTACTACGCGAATTTTATTTAACGAATCAATAACGGCACGAAATGTCGAGCAAAGATTATCCCATAAATATTAAATATTAAATATTCATATCAATTACATATGCATTAGATAAATATGTTACTTTATACCAAGTTGCATATGGAATGAAACTTTGAACCGGGGACCCGTTTACGAGTAACAATAACAAAAAATGATATCCCGATGTCCAAGAGATATCTCTCCGAGAAAAGAAATTGAAGTACCTTTCTGTCGGGGTCCAAAATGGAAAAAAAAAGATTAAAAATCGCACTCACCAAGCGGCAGAGCAGTCGCCACGAGAAACAAGACGGCACAGGCGAGCCTCGCGTGGCTCGCACGTTTCTCGATGCACATAACGCGTCGTCGTTCACACCGGCATCCGAATACTCGTACCGTGTCGCGCGGCCGCTCGCGTGGCTCTGAGTGTGCCTCCTCGTTAGATTTCGAGTTTCGAAACGCGCCTCCCCTCCCGCCCACCTGCGTTCTCGCTTTCTCTCTCTCTCTCTCTCTCTCTCTCTCTCTCGTCCGCTTCAGTTTAGTCCCGCGCATCGCGGGACTCGCGCGCAGCTCCCGGATGCTGCGAGCGGTCCAGCGAGGCGCCTGCTCGATGGCAACCCGTTCTACAACCTCGCGTGCTATCCGCGTTTGGCGCCACTCGCCGGAGATCGCAGGGATAGCTCTTACCATGGGGGGAAAGATTACTTTACAGATCCCTTCTTGCCGATCGCTCCACGAGCAGGAAGATTCAAATTATTCGGAATGTTGCGTGGGAAGATGTGAAAGCGAAAAATAAGAAGAGTCTATGAAAATTAAGGAATCAACAATTCACGCGTCGCAAACAACCTCGCGCATCCCAGTATCATATGCTTAATAATCATTCGAACATATCTAATTGCTTACAATCGATTTAAAAAGCTCGACGATAGTCGGGAAGAGCGCAGGCGCGAAGCCTCTCTTTACAAAGCGTTAGTTTGAACTCGAACTTTAGAGTTGCTATCGCAAAAGAAAGGTCAAGAATGCTCCGATCCGTTTCCCAGCCAGAACGTTGATGTCGATTAGATGTCTAATAGATGTCGGGGATGTCTAATAGATGTCCAAAGGCGGGTCCAGACATCGTATCACCGTATCGTATCGTGATCGCGTATCATGAACAGCTAAGGCCCGGTTGCACCAACGTCACGTAATTTTAACTGTAGCTTAATTCACTCTTTGTCGCTTTCCAACTGTTTCCCTTAGAAAGAGACAAAGAGTGAAATAAGCTAAAGTTAAATCTAAGCGACGTTGGTGCAACCAGGCTGAAGTGTGGACGGTGCGCCGTATCCGAATACAAGTATGATCCACTTGGAGTCGGTATTTTACCGAAACATCAAAGAAATGATACGTGATACGGATACTGTCAGTGTAGACGCGTTTTCGATCCTGACCACTCCATCTGACAAGGCAGCATCGCTATTCAGTCGCGTTGCTTCGTGTCCAGCGGTTGCTTGATGTCAGAATGGAGTGGTCGCAAGATAAAATAATTGATTTAATAAATATATATATATATATATATATAAAGAAAAATCTATTCTTTGGAGTGTAACAAATCCGCATCATTTTAATCGGTTAAAAAAATGATGCATGGGAGGAAATCGCGCGTGACACTGGAAGATCGGTCGAGCATTGCAAAAAGAAGATGGAATATCTTCTTTCTGCTTTAAGACAACGTGAAATGATACGAACTGTACCAGGTGGAAAACTAAAAAAAAAGATACGGATAAATGATACGGATACGAGCTGAAAACAACACCTTGCCGTATCATCATAATCAGCGTATCCGTATCATGATAAAAGGCGATCACGATACGATACGGTGATACGACACATGTCTGGACCCGCCTTAACAGACGTCTGTTGGACGTCGAATCGACATGATGTTCTGCCTGGGTTTGAGTTTTTTAAAAAAAAGGAATAGCTAAGACTAATCCCAGTAAACACCAAGTAACAGTTACATAACACCACGTGTCCTGCTCAACGAGGTAAATGTTATATAACATGCGTGTTATATAGCATTTACCTCGTTGAGTAGGACATTATAATATTGATGTCACGTAACTGTTATTCAACAGTCTTGTGAGTCTCCGCACGATCTCTACACCGGTGAGCCCGCAATAGTTTCACCTGTCGCTATTTACGGTCGCCTATGAGAGAGTGAGGACTATTCGTCGCTGGCACGTGCTTACGATCGCCACGTTTCCGTGATTATCGCGCTCTCATTTGCGCGACAGGCGTGTTCTGTGGCGCAGGAGGAATTGTTTTCGACAAGGATAAACGTGTGAGGAAAGTAAGAATTTGAAACCAACCTTTTTTCCCTCGTGAATCCCGCGCTCTAGCGTATATGCACGCCTGCATGTGCATACGCGTGGCTGGACGTCCACATGCGCGGTTGTCCTCGCCGTCGCCTCGACCTAGCTCCTGTAGCACCCTCGGATATCGATCCCCCGGCGCGTTCGCGCGTTTCGAACGACGCAAGCCCGAGTTTAAGCTCGAGTACAAGTCACCCTCCCGGCGAAGCTAGTTCATGCCCGGCGCACCGCCTCACCCCCGGCTGCATATCCTCTCCCTCCGTCCTTCCTCTTCCTCTCTCTTTCTCTCTCTCTCTCCCGCTCCCTCTCCACTCCTTTCGTCCTCGTGAACAGGAGGCACGGCAATCGGGCAAGATGAGCGACCAGGAGGATCTGGATTATTACATCATGTTCCCGTCGTTCCCGCCGTCCCCGAAGGACCCGACGTTGACCACAGCCGGACAGGATCAGCGCGAGGAGTTCGTGTTCGTGTACGAGGAGGATAAGCGGCCGGTCGTGATCCTGCTAGGATGGGCCGGCTGTCAGGACCGATATCTAGCCAAATACAGCTCGATCTACGAGGAGAAGAGGTAATCCGAGCCGCTGATCTCGCGTGAAACTGGTACCGCGTGCGATCCAGCTGATCAAGCTCCTCGGAAGGTCGGCAGTCATTCGCGCTGAAAACGCCACGGTTCTGCCTAGGTTCTCCAAGTTATTCGCGTGCGCACCGGGTGCGCATTTCATTAAATGGCGTAGAATCCGCGAGAACGATTTTTTTTTTACGGAAAAACGGAAATGCCTCGACTCGTCATACCGGGTCGTCGCGCGAGTCCCATTATTTTTACGCGATCTGTAATACACGTTGAAACTGTGGGACCGGATTCAGTTTCTAATTTTACGTGTCGTCTAACGCGGGGTCGGGGACATGTCTGCGGGGTCGGAAATACCGTGGTGCTCCATTTTTTTTTGTTTCATGAATATAAACGACGCGTCGGACGCGCGCGTGTCAAACTGACAAATTCGATCGCGTACGGGCGACCCGTGTCGTCCAACGGCGCGCTTGTAACGCAATTAATCCCCCGGGTTGATCGTTAATCCCCCGCCGTTATTGCGTCCCCGCAGCTGCATCACGCTGCGTTACACGGCGCCGGTGGAGTGCCTGTTCTGGCGCCGGGACAAGATGCCTTACATCGGCAAGCGGCTGCTGCAGGTGATCACGGACAACCGGCTGGACGAGCACCCGATATTCTTCCACGTCTTCAGCAACGGCGGCGCCTTTCTCTATCAGCACGTCAGCCTCGCGATGCAGAGGGCCAACACGCCGTTCAAGGTAGACGACTCACGGGTAGAACAATGACATGAAAGAGATGTCGACATGACGTTAATATAAAATGATGAACAAAGTCATAATAACGTCATCAGTTTTATGTGTCCTACCTGAACTCGACGCAGCGAAAATCGTCGCGCCTCTCTGCGCTGTGGTCTGCGATTCGGACTTATCTGCAATTCAGGAACAGAATGCTGTTTACAATGCAAGTAGTTGTGTAATGAGAGAAACAATGGAGAAATACAAACAAGTTAGAATTCTCAAATATAGATATTCTGTACTTTTGAAAGCAGACGCAAATTGCAGAGTCTAAAACGGAGAGTGCACAGAGCGATCGTCATCTTTACACTTTGATTTGCTGTCTTTATATGAGAATCTCTGACTGGAATCGCAGGTCAGGGGGGTGATATTCGACAGCGCGCCCGGCGAGAGGAGATTGACGGCGCTTTTTAAGGCGATCAGCGCGATTATCGGCGGACATCCCCTCACGAACTTGCCGATGTCGTTCGTCATCACGTTCTTCCTCTCCGTACTCTGGTTCTTCGAGGTAAATGAACAGCGCATTGGCGTTCTACGATCCTCATTGTCTCACGACCATTAGCGGACCGTGAAACGATCGTAATCTTCATTAATTTCCGTACGCGACACGATCTCGCCGCAACGAGACGTTTGTTAGCGCGGCGGATCCATATCACGTCCATAGATCGGATCATTTCAAAGCTATACCGACGTAGTACAGTTTATATGTCGGTTTATGATCGTCAGGTAATTGCGCAGGCTTTCAGCAGAACGCCTATTCAAACGAACCCGATCGCCCTCGCCGAGGAAGCCTATTCCTGGCCTCAGTTGTTCCTGTACTCCAACAGCGACACTCTGATCCCGGCGTCTGTAAGTTCCCACTTATTTTTTTACGCTAATTCCGCAGCGATTAGTTGGACTTTTTAAGTGACTCTTGGTACAATCTATCATGAGATAGAATACTAATATCGAATAGCAGAGTTTCTGTTAAATTAATAAGCATCGTCAGTTGATTCCACCATTTATTGTCCTTGGAGCGAAGTCTGTTTGGCGGAAAATTCATTGTTGAATTGTGTAATCGTTGCGAGAAAAGACTTACGAGATTGAATTTGGGCGTTGAAAACCTGCTGTCTCATAGTAGAAATCTATCTCATGATAGAGGGCTTCCCTCTAAATGCTTAGTTTTTATCGATGACTGACAATTGAGAGTATATCATCATTATTAACGTATCCTAGATAATGAGAGGAACCTTGTTATAAGAGGGGTTCATGAATATCTGTCTCGACAGGACGTCGAGAAGTTCGCCAGCCGGCGGGCCGAGCGGGGTGTACGGGTGCAGCTCGTCCTGTTCACCAATTCGCCGCACGTCAAGCACTACACGACCTACCGCGACGTCTACGTCAACACCGTGTGCAGCTTCATTCACGAATGCCTGATCTCGCCGAGTCCGTCGAGGGGCCTGCTGTCGCCCCTGGACCACGGCGACGATCTCGACTCCCAGAGCTACGACGCGCCACCAGGTCTCACCAAGCGCGTCGTGCTGCCTCAGGAGGCCAGCAAGCAGCAGAACTAGTCTGGGAGTCCGGAAGACGATAAATAGGGTAGAATAGTCGCCCAGCGGCAACGCGGGTGCCAGGCATAAAGGGAGAGAGGATCGATGATCAATTATTACGTACCGCATTTTCGAGACTAACAGGTCTACGAAGAAAGGAGTGAATTCGAAGGGAAGCGCCGGGAATCGGTTTTACGCAATTAGGATCTCCCAATCCCCCGTAATTGGAAATTGGAACGTCAGCTGCTCAATTCTTTCCACCCCCGACTTTTCCTTGTATTCTCGTCTTTTCATCGCAATGCAGAGAATCGCATAATAGGATGGGCAACTTCTTTATTGGAGCTGAAGTGAGCCAGGGGGAAGCGTTGCGACTGAAACCAGAGAAGAATCTGAACACTTTTCCGGGCAGTTCCCGATTTCGAGCGCGTGCGGGAGATCGAAATTTCGCAGAGCAAGTGTCTCGCGACTCTTTCAATTCACTCGTTTCACATGGTATAAAGAGGCGATGCCCGAGATGCTGGAAACGGTGCTACGTTCGTTAAATGTACAGAGCTGTTTTATATGAAGTTGATAATCGTTTTCGGGTTGAAAGTTACACTCGACTGAAAATGTCGATTTTCTATGAGCCGAGCGGGAGAGCAGACACACGGTGGCGTAAGAGTTTCCAAATTGGATCTCGAACTACTTTGGTGCACTTAGACTCGTACGAGTCCAAAAATATGAAGATTTCTACTAAAGCTTATCTCAATTCTACTTTGGCGCCTGCATTTATGTTTCTTTTTCTATATACAACTCGAATGTCATATAAACACGCACACATCTATTCGCGCGTTGCTTCCTGCAAATCGAAAGTTCTGAATTTTAATCAAGTTTGACGCAATTACCAGTGGGCCAGAACCCCAGGAGATTCCTGGACGACTTAAGTGCACTGTTTGCGGCATCGTAAGCCTTTTCAAAATTTCACCGATAATCTCCACATCCTCTCTCTCTCTCTCTCTTTCCTTTGCCTCAGTGTCCTCTTACGTTATCCCTGTCGCAGCTTGATTCTTCCTTCGTACTCTTTCGTCGTTTCTTCCGCCATCGCGTGTCCGAGCTTTAGAAGCTCGCGAGCTCGTAGACACGAATGCATCCTCTGTACAATAATCTGGACGAGCGATCTCTCGCTTGCCGGACGGTTTTGTGCCGTCCTCCGAGAACGAAGGCTTCGAGGACTAATTGCAAGAGAGATTTCTAGGACGGGGTGGGGTGCGTTTGATAGAAAATCGTACGCAATATCGCGCAATGTGTTTACCGCTTACGCTCGTGCTCTTTCCTACGCCGCGGGACAAGGAACCCGCGCAAGAATCAAGCTGGACTTGATTTAGCTTACGCAACTCACGACTCGAATGCATGGCATTTAATCGATTCGTAAAAGGAAAACACAGGATTTCTCCTTGTGTCTGGAATTATATCAGTGATAAATTTTCGAGAACGCTCGCCACTCGAGCGTATAGTTCTGTATCGTTAAAACATGTCTTTACATATATATATACATATATATATTTAAAAATAAATATATTTTGATCTGTCGATTAGTTATACGAATAAAGACTGATAAATAAAGCTGCAGACTGTTAATTTTTATCAAACGTATGAACGTGTATTCGCTTCATCGACAATGTTTCAGCGGCTTTCTTTTCTTGAAATTGGTATCGATCTCGATATTTTTTTTTTATGATCAAACATAAAGTTGAGAAGGTTATTGTCAATGCACAACACATAGTCTGCGGGTTTTTCTCCTTTTCATCCAAGCGCCGCTTGGCTTTTAATTTGCTAAAAATATACATTTATATATGAAAAGATAATATATATTTTTGATCTATCTAAAAGGCAGACCGTATATAGTATCGAGAAGTGCCATCTGAAAAAGAATTCAGAAGAAGGCGCATCGAGGATCAAAGCGAATCGTCTCTAATCGTTCCATATTCTCGCTATGTGCTATCCCCCTTCGCCGCGACGAATCTAAACACTGTCCGTTCAAAGACACAAAATTGCGAGGAGTATAATAGAATTAATGCCCTGTCCGTTTTCGTGGACAAAGCAGAACGAGAAGAGCAGGAGAAGGCATTGCCGGAGCATGTGCCAGACAGACCGTGGGGCAAATTAGCTGCTCTCTCCGGAACGAAGTAGGCGAAAGAGTTGGTGTACGTTTAAGCACATACGTAATTGCGTGTGAATTGATTTGCAGTATCGTTAAGAAGTTGCGCCAGTTCAATCGAAGGAAGGCCACAAAGACGGCTGATTGCGACGGTTCTCCGTTGGACAAGAATGGAAATAAGCGATGCCCTGAAGAATATATTTGCATGGATGTTTATGCAAAGTAAAATTTTTATCTTCTCTCTTGTACTTCGTGAACGAAGTAGCGTCGACGTGTATGTACCTAAAATCTTTCAATCTATGCAGAACGCGCCTCGCTAAAGTCAATGCCAAAGGCGAGAGATTACCAGACTTTCCGCGAAATCAGTTTAACAAATTGAACGGCAGCCGAAAATCACAAGTCAATACTGTTCCGAATAGAATCGAAGCAAAACCCTCTAACCAGAACATCCTGGGAGCTAAAGTAAAACGCGACATCGTACGTTTCCCCGTTACTCGGGAGTTCATTTAAATGCAATCGAGGTCCTAAGTGACATACAATTAATATCTCGCGGCCAAGAAATATGACTTGCATTGTTGTAACAACGTGTCTTTCCCCGACTTATTTCGCGAATGCCGGCTACAGAATTGCTAATCGAATGCTAATAAATTCCGAGACAGATAGCGGAAAACGTAACGAAGCAGGGGAAAAAGTTGCATCCCGTGAAAAGAATTTCAGCGACGAGCAATTTCGTCTATGAATTTCATCCGTTCGCAAATGCCGAGCAGTCACGTCCGTTAACGTCGCAGACACACTTGTGGCGTACGAATAGCTCTGAGCAAACACCGCCTCATTTTAAAACAGGTGCGAAGCTAATTAAGCTCAACATAAGGTCTCTTTGCGTCGCACCGATTACTCCACTTGGGTTTCCCGATTACGCGTTTTAAGACACGCATAATCGGTGGAAACGCAAGCAAAAGTATCTCGATATTAACGAACAAGAAGTATCCAACTGTTCCAAGCAAACTAATTTAGCAACACCCTGTTATCTTATATTAGGAGCCTTCCTCTAACTTTCCTCTAATATCAACGTTGCGTAACTATCGGTTGGTGTTTGCTGGGTGTACTTTTTGCTCGTGTTAATATTAATTTATTATACACAGACACGTCGTTCGGGAAATCGGCGTTAAATCACAACGCGGACCTTGCGAGGCGGAAGTCGTCCGCCGTCTTGCCGGAACTGAATTCGCGAGCAGTTGATCCAGACTCGAGCGTAACGAGTTCTTCCCCAACGAAAAATACTTGCCTACCGTCACTTGGCAAGGGGAACCCGACGAGGACACTAAGCGAGCAAGCTGACAACGAGTGTAAATTAAACCTTTACTCCGTTCACTTTGAAACAAATTTTGTTAAATTTTATGTTTGTTACGCCGGATTATAAAGTGACATTTCTGTCGTTTTAGACGGGCGAAGCGATATAGACCGCGAAGTGGAAAATGTCAAGTCTGCATGGCAAATGTTACGGGGGGAAAAATGCTGGACGAGGGGCAAAGAACGCACTAGCAGTGCCCGAACGAAAAAATTGTACGAGATGTTAGAGAAGATGACGTGCGAGATCGACCGAGTTCAGAGAAATTATACGGATCCCAGGGCGAATCCTTATTTGCGCAGAAGCGCGACTAATGTCCTGAGGCAGGGCGACAAGCCGAACTTACGAGAAGAAGCCGAAGTAGCGAGAAGCGTAATCTTTCCCGACAGAAAGGCCAGGACCAAATCGGCCGGCACTTGTCTGAGAAACGTCGACAGCGAAATTATTGGGAAGAACATGGCGAGGGTACGATTCGACGAAGCTGCGGAGTTTGATGCGGAAAAATTACTTCGACCGAAATACACTGCGAAAAAGCGATCTATACACACTGATACGCACGAGCACGGTATCGCCAATGACGTTAGATCGGCCCACACAATTGCATCGAATAGCTACAACGAAAAACGAGATAGAGCTGTTACAGATACAGCGAAGCCGACGTTTACAAGTGGCAGCAAGACGAGGGCGAGAATCAGATCTTCCATCGAGGAATATCTGCAACATTACAGCGATAATATTCATAGGCCACGCGGCATCGCAGAGGAGGAGGAAGAGTGCTCTCGAGAAGTAAAACTATCGGCGAGCGACATCGCGGATATTCTGGCGAGTCACAATATTGGACCGCACGTGCTGTATAAAAATTTCCAAGGATGCGGCGACGACTACGATTCGGGCGATTGCACGAGTGAAAACGACGAGGATCGCGCCTGCTCGAACACCGCGGCCAACGCTACGCAAGTTACGTCCGTCGAAACTGCCCGAGAAAATAGAAAAACTCGCGATTACACGTCTTTTGGGAATACGGAATTGTATAACGAGACACGGTTGACGAAGGCGGTCGACGCGAGATCTTTCGATACTCGGAGACAATCGAGCGTGACAAATTGCCAAGATAACGCCCTTATTAAAATGGGATTGGACAAAGATTTACCTAGAGATACGCTGTCGCAAATACTGCAGTCGGAATACTTGCGAAAGGACTTGTCTTTATAATCCGTGTAACATCTGCTGTGTATCATTAATATATTTTTTTCTTCTTAAACAATTCTAAATCATTGTATCTTAAATTGTTTGAAATTCATTCCGCAAGTCTTGTTTTCACTTTCTCGATTCTCGCAACGCGAACAGATCATTCCCTTCCGTGTGCTAAAATGCTTTAAAAAATATACAAACGTGAAAGTTAAAATTTCTCTTCTGTACAATCCCGCGCTTTTATACACTTTATGTCCTAACTGCGTAACTAAACCTTTTAACTTTTATTCGAACATATCACAAAATGTTTCCCGCTAATTCTCGAGTGTGACACAATACACATATAAATTCATTACATACGAAGAGATGTACGGGACCGCCTGTCCCGATTAGTTTTCTCAAACTGGTTACATCCGTCAAATTATGGCACTGTCTGTCAAGTCCACACTTTGCTGCTTCGAAAGAAATAATACAAGTTTATTTTAAGTATAAATAAAGCGTTATGATATGTCTTCGACTGGCCGATACGCGATGATCAAACGCATCGCCCCAACATTCTTGTAAACATTCAAACAGCTACTTCATTGAGAATCATTCATAGTGACTTCAGATCACGCAGATATCTCCGCATTGTCCTCAACAAGCACTCGATCACTTTCTCTTGAGTAACAAAGAATCGTTGGATGAGAGATAGAGCATATCACAACACTGGAAGCGCCGAACTGTGGCTTTGGTATATTATAGCCCCGGTGAAATTGATCGCTGCCGCCAGCACGAAGACCGGCATCCACCAACCGTGCGAGGCGGTTACTAATTCGGCCGTCAGTGGTCCACAGAGAATTCCAGGTACTGTTGCCTGAAAATTAAGGCACGGATAGGTAACGCGGGCAATTCTTTGGCGATTGGATTTTAGGTGGAAAACAAAAACGCATATACAATTGTATTTGAAACCGCAAATGTAATTCCCGCGTGATTCGGAGCTATGTCCGCGTGATTACTTAGATGTCCGGCGGAGTTGCACGCGCAGAGGCCCATGGATATCGAAACGAAGCTACAACATAACAATTTGCACGTGTCTCATGGAGGAAGAAATTCAGCAATGCGAAACACGAAATGATATAGTAATTGTACATACATGACCGCAGCAAGCAGATTATCTACAGCACAGAAAGCTAATAGAAAAGCACCTGGTCCGATTAGGCCTATATTTGTCATCAATCTTCTAACAGATAGAACGGACCATCTTTTCTGTATCAAAGTGTCAGCGCTGTGGCCAGCAACTGCGAGAGAAAGAACACATTGAAAAACAAGTAAACGTCAAAATAACGTAAAGAATTATTTAATTACGCCAGTAATTGATTAAGCAATGTTTAACCAAGGCAGAAAACTTGCATGACGATGGCTGGCAGATTCTAATTAAAGAAATTCATTGCGAAGCCAGGCTGAGGTAATATTTTTCGTAAAATTGGTCGTCACGCGAATTTTCTGCATTGTCAAAAGTAAAGTCGGGATATATAATTATGTACTTACCAATGCCAATGAGAGAATTAACAATGTAAGGGAGAGCCGTCAAGCTGATGCTCTCTTTGTTCGCAGACAAGTTTCTTGCCAAATAAGTTGGTAGCCACTGCATTATTATGTAATTGCTCCAGTTCATTGCAAAGTGCGCTATGTACAGAGCCCACAGGGGCCAGTGGGCAATGAACTCGGTCCAACGCAAGCTTCTATTCTGAGCTACCTGTCGGTCGATCGTAAAATTACGTCAAGAATGCAATTGGAAGTGAACAAAATGCCAGAGAGAGAGGCTTACTTTAGGAACAAATAACGGTATCTCGTCTTGAGAGTTTGTTTCCTGATACAGCATCAGCCACAGCAGAGTCCACATGATACCTATTGTCCCGAACAAGTAAAATCCCGTTTGCCATGCCAAGTGCGGGCATATCTGGCGAGAGAGGAGAGACAGAAAGAAACACGTAGTGTTCGTCGGCGATTAAAAGGCGCATCGAGAGTACCAGAGTAAAGTGTATCTTACAACAGACGCGACCACTTGGCCGACGGAACCAGCAGCCACCAGGTAACCGAAAGCGCGCGATCTCTCCTCCACGGGGACGTTGTGCGCGAATAAATGAAATATCACCGGTAGGCCTGCAAACAATGCCGCGTTGAGCTTGGAACGCGCGTCGCCGCGGGGGACGCTCTACCGTCTCGAGCCTCGCTTCTCACCTAGTCCTTCTCCGAGTCCCAGGACCACCCTGCAGACTATGAGCAGCGGCACCGACTGCGCCAGCAGCGGGGTGACGACCGTGCTGATGGACCACAGCAGCACCGCCAGCATGAGGACCGTCTTGCAGCCGAAGCGACTCGCCGTGCTCGCGCCGATGATCTTGAAAAGGAGAAAGCGACGGGGCGCGCGTTACCGGCACCGGGGGAAACGGCACGGGGGAAAACGGCCTACCTGACTAGTGAAGTATCCGAAGGCGAACGCGGACAGTATCCAGCCCTGCCAGTACAGGTTCCACTTGAACTCGTCGGTCATCGGGACGATGGCGATCGGCATGATGACCCTGTCCGCGGCGTTGATGAAATTCGCGGCCGAGCAGAGGGCCACGATGCGCGAGGTGCGCGGCAGCATTCTGAATTTCGCCATTGCCCCGCGGTCTCCCTCGGATCGGGTGGCGAGCGAGAGAGAGAGATAGAGAGCTCCGGACGGTTTCAGCAATCGCAGACGGTCATCGCGCCACGCGACGACGGCGAGGGGCGCGGGGACGAGCCCGCGGGGACGAGCGTGCCGCTCGCGGCGAGAGAACGGTGGGATCCTAACCTCCGCACTGTCATAGAACGACGCTTTACGACGCGCCGTTCGCGCGCAGCGCCGGGACGAGCGGGATCGTCGAGCGAGCGCTCGCGCGCTCCGCCCGCAACGATAAACGCGTCGCGCCGGCGTTAGGAATCGCGGCCGAGCGTCATCACCAGACGGCGACGAGCATCGCGCGGCGGACACGACTTCGACGTGTCAACACGGACAGGGGGAGGGGGGGAGAGGATATCCCGACAGCAGAGGCTCCGGAGAGAAGCCACGTCCCGGATTTCACGCGATCCTCGAACAGCGACGCGCCTCCTCTGGACGCGAACTACGTAGCCTGCGTAGCCAATGTCCGCATTTTGCCAAGTGGGTAACGTGGATTCGCACAATCCTGATCACCGCGTCTACGGTTGGGTCGCGGATTTTTTAAGCACCAGATTATTGCACGGGATCTAACCGCGGATTAATTAATAACAGATCGCCGAAGGCCCGCGGGTCCAGGCGGGACACCGGCATTTTCGTGCTTTGATTATCCGACACACATGCATGGACGCGAGTCCGCACTGAATGCACCCGATTTTATCGACAGACCACGACGAATGTTCGTTCGAATCGAATAGACGGAAAGGCGACTAACAGCAGTCCGCGGAATCATGAGTTAACGCAAGAATAATGCACAAATGTATCTACCAGAGGGTTGCCTCGCCGTCGACCGATGCCTTCCAGGTCGCCGCTTCCTCTCAGATTCCTCAGACTTGGCACCGGCGAGCGGCACAACGCGGCACTCGCGGAAAAGGGAGTCAATCGTGTCCAAGTAGCGCGCGCCACGACACTCCCGGCACTCCCGGCGTTAACCGACGCGAGCTCGTTGCAACGAGAACGAGAACGAGAGACGCGATCGCGCACGGGAACGCGAGCCGCCGCCCCAGTGAGAAATGATTCGTCGATCGACGTCGAAACGACGTGGAA